GTAATTTTACCTTTTACTATAATTAAATAGAAGAAATCCGCTACGCCTCATATACAATTTAATACCCTATCTATTCTAATAATATTATTTTATAACCTATTAATTTTATCGGCCGCCTTATTATTTTTAACGGTTACAATTTTTCGGAAATTTAAGAATAATACGAATTAGATTTCTTAATTATTAACGCTATCGCTATTTTGCGTCCGATTCCTATAATAGTTATTCCGACCGTCCTTTTTAATATATTTAACGCTAAAATAATATTTAAAAAAGCGCGCAAAATTACCTTATATATTATCTAATCGGGTAATAATACTAATACCTATAGCGAGGCTAATAGTAAAAGTAAGTCTTACCTATTCTTTGAAAACGTAATTAATATATTCGATAAAAATTACCAAGATTTAAATATTTAAATTAATTACTATTTCCGCGCGGATATCGAGAAAATTATTAAAATATATATAATAAATATTAATAATTATAGGAAGGAATTTACGAGTACTTATAGTTTTTTATAGAATAAATTAGTACGTAATATTAAAGGCGCTTTTAATAGCGTTCTAAAGAAACGTAGTAATAACGACCCTACTTTTATTAATAAAATTCCGTTAAAAATCACGTTACTAACTATTTGATACTTTAATTATAATATTAATTTATCTAAATAAATAAGTAATTTACTAGGTTGCTTAAGTTATTTATATTACGTTGAAGTAACCGTAATTAAGTTTATTATAAGTAAATTTCCTATACGTAAAATTAAAGTCGTTTATAAAATAGAAATCGTTAAAGAAATCCCAGTTACTATTAGAATAGGTAATTTAAATGCTATTTTTAATATTATTACTACCGCCTTCGAGAAATATAAGTATTTTTTAGAAAATTTTAACTTCTATTAGGGAGAAGTAGTAGAATAATTAAAGGTAGAATTATCGAATATATATTAAAAACTTATTAAATTTTAAAAACTTTATATCCGTTACGTTCCTTTATTGGCGTTTATTATACGTATATATTATATTAATATAGTGCCTAATATTATTCCTCTTCGTATTATTAATTCTAACGATATATTACTTCGCGGTACGCCTAGCTTTACTAATATATTAGACAAATTCAATACTATAGCTATCTATTCTATTAATCGTTTCGATATTATATTACCTATTCGCTTTCCGCGTCCTAGTAGTATTATAGAGGATTGGAAGTAAAATAATTCCCCGCTTAGTTATAAACGTATACGTTAGGATCCTCCTAGGTTTAACGAAAATAATTACGAAGATAATAATAATATTAATACTCGCTCATTTCGTCGCGGCTATTATTAAGAATCTCCTCCGTCCTTACTATCTACGCTAATTGCTTATTATTATTCGGTTCTCGTATTAGAATATTTTAATTATCGGAAATAGTTTTCGGTAGTCAAGGGTTATATAGGATATAAAAAGGATAGTTCATTAATAGTAAAAAAAGTAATAATTCTTATTTTCTATTTTATATTTAATAATAATTTTAGTAAATTGTAAGTACTCTTCTCCTTTCATCGAAGGGGAAATATTATAGGATATTCTAAATAAGTACCTAAATATCCTACTTTATTTTAATATATATTCTATTAAGCGTAGGATTATTGTATCGAATAAAATATATTATATAAGAGTATTTTCCCTATTAACCTCTATTAAAATTGATTGGATTATCAATTTACATTATATTAATCTAACGTCTATTTTATTTACATTCTATAAAATTGTATACGAGGTCCCAAATCGAGGCTCTCAATAGTGCTTATCTTTAACTTCCTTTAATAAAATTATCGTTAACCGTTACGCACTATTACTCTATCTAGCAACTAGTTGCTTACTTTATTATTCTATATTAGCATCCCTTGTAAACCATCGCTTCGCGTAACATTTTAATATCGGATACAGAAATATCGGAATTAATCTTTAAATATACTTCTACTTCCTATAGAAGGGTCTTAATAATTGGGCGATAATATTTAATAATATTTAATCATAGAATATAAATTTCGAATATCCTAAACGTAATAAAGGATAATAATATTAGGTAAATAGAAATCCTATTATATTTAAATAGTATTAGAAATTTAAAAGTAGAATTCTAAATTCGTAATCTTTCGGTTACCTAACGGTCCTCCTTTAAATTTCTAGTGTAAACGCGGACCTTTAACGTTAATTAAGTTATTAACCTATATTTAAAATTAATTATACTGGATATAACACTAATAATAGAATAGGAAATTAATATTAACACTAGCGTACAAAACGAAGAAATAATTAGTAAAGACGAAAGTAATATAAATAAGCGGCGATTTAATATAACCGTTATATTATCTTCGGCGGGGGCAGTATCGAAGAAAATTCCCCGAATAATTCTTATAATACTAATATAACTACGAGTACGTATAAGATCCGACGTTCGAAGGTTAACTAACCTACCTACTTATATAAGGTCGATATAAAACTGCTCTTTAATATCTAAATAAATTAATCCGTCCTTAAGGAGAAGATTAATTCCTATCTAAATCTAATCGACCGCTTTACCCTTACTTTTAAAATTGGATTTACTTTCGTAATATAGGACTATAATTAAAGAAGACAGATCGGCAGTATAATAAGAGACTAGAACGGTTAATAAGGAAGGCTTAATATTATATAGGGTTAAAACTATTTCCTCTTTAATTATTCTAACTATCTTTACTCTTATTTCTTAAATAGTAAGAATTTAATTAATTTAATAATTCTTCGTAACGAATTCGTTAAATTTAGCGAAGATAGAAATAAAATATCTTTTTATAATATTAAAGTCGGTAATTCAGTGCGGATAATATATAAATATATTATTATCATTATATAATTTATTATTAATTATATAAAATATACTTTTACTAAGCTTGGGCCGAATTCTCTTATAGTAATTAAAAACCGCTAAATTGTAAACGTCCACGCTCGCCTATAAGGGGTAATTAAAGTAATGTTCGTAAAATCTATATAGACTATTAACTCTCTTAATATCAGTTTCGGTCTAAATATTAAGAACTATTTTGACAATACGGGACGCGATTTTAAGGGGACAAAGAAATAAATATAATAGAGTAAAAATATTTACAAAGTAATAATAAAGGTAAAAAATCTTATTCAATTCTAAACTATAGAAATTCCTTACTACGAATTAGGGAGAATTAAACTCGTAATCACTATTCTACCTATTAATAAAATCGTTAATTGACAGATTCTTTTAGGAAAGAAAAATCCAATAATAATGAATTTATCAAAGGGATTAATATGTAGCGGAAATCGTTACAATAGACGTAACGGATTCTATTTAAGGAACTACAATCAATTATAACTTAGAATTTAGGTCAATAAATAATTTTACTAAATAAATATTTTTAGTTATAGATAATGATTGATTGAATAAAAGAAGAATTCGTCTTAATAGAAACGAATCCGTTACTAACTATCTAGTACTACCTAGAATTGTATCGGGGCCAAAACATGCCGAATCCGGTATGCCCTGGTCCCAGTATGCTCTGGCCTAGCTGACTAGTCATTATGTAATAACTACCTTCGTATTAAAAATATTGCGATTACCGGTACGATACACTCTAACCGTATAATACTTTAATTCGCTAAACTCCGAAACGAAGATAATAAGAAAAAGAAAGTACCATTTAGGGCACTATATTAATTCATTTTAAATATCCCGATACCCAAACTTAAGAAAGGCGGAAAAATACTAATAATAAAGGATTAAGAAACCGGCGCAATATACCTATATATAAAAAATCGCTAAATAGTAAACTTCTTATTTATATAATATATAAATAACGAATTCCGTATATATATATACTACCGCCGTTGTACTTATAAAGGCGCTATAAAAAATCACTTTAGCGATAAAAGTAGTAAGCGAATTTAAATACTATTAATTATTTAAGTATATAATTACTATATAAATAACGTCGACGTTAATAACTAACTATACGCGTATAATACTTATAATTATCGCTACCGCCGTAAATTATTTATAGTATTATTAATTAATTTCTACCTTAGTATATTACCTACATTTAATTTCTTACTAAATACTATACTAACGATATATTATTTTTATATAGAAGTTATTGCGGCCAACCTCTTACTTAATTAGAGGAAAAAGCTATATAAATCCCCCTTTTATTAAAAGAATTAGACTATATATATAAACTTTCGAAGCCAATTAATTAACGAAATTTGAGCATTTTATAGTAAATAAGCTATCTAGTACCGCGCTTTACCGAACCGAATCCTAATATCGAATACTAAGGGAATTACTACAAACGAATATATAAGAATAAAGTTCTCAAAACGAAGTACTTATACTATATATTTATCTACTCGATTTAGATAGTTAGCAGCCTTTAATATTAATGGCTCCTCCTCTACATACCGCATTCGTACGTTTCTCGATTGCCAGACGTATAATATTATAATTTATAAACGAGACCGCTACTGGACAGCCCATATACGTTAATCGACTTTGGGAATAGCTTCATTTCGGCTTGAAATATATTAGTTAATTCTAGCATCTTCTCTACCCACACTTGTACGACATCCCCTGCAGTGACAAAAGTGCTGCAAATGCTGGTAAAATCGAGGTATCTGCATGGTCAAAGATGTCAGGCGCTAAGAAGGGGAGCAATCGATTGGCTAAAATCCAGGGCTTGGCAAAAATGGTCACTTTGCACCGTTAAAGGGATGGCAGGGGACAGGCGCGACCTTGGGGTTGCATTCTCACCTTTTGTTCCATCTTTTTCCGTTGACTTTTCCAGTCCTTTGCTGTTGCCTCGTCGGCACCTCCTTCCAACTGCTTCCCCAAGGAACCAACAACAGCACAGCGCCTGCACGGTCTTGCACTCTGCAACCAAATGGAAGTTTTCTCCTCTGCCTCCTCCCCTCTCCCACATTCCGAGTCCGCTTGGGCCTTCATCATATGCCAGACACTTTTGGATATTCCAACATGACTGTCAATTCGCGAGCTTCAATGAATCTCGAATTCCCAATTTGTTTGAAACGCACATGATTGAGACCGTTGTTGCGGAGGCTCCAGAAGCGTCGGAGGAAACGAAGAAACGAGGAAACGACGGCAGGCAGGCCACTGGTCACTACACACCCTGTCACCCCATCAACCCAAGGCCCCAAGTCCCAGACGGGTCGTCCATGGTTCATCGCAACAGCGTCAGGGGCAGCACTGACCATGGCGGAATCAAGCCGTCCTCGAGACTTGGACAAGCGATGACCCATGAATCTTCGATTCTCGATGGCATGCAAGGCGGGGAGACAGGCACGACAGGCTACCAGGACAGGCGACCGCTCAGACTCTTGTTTCGTCACGCATGTTATAGGACCAGGGTGGCTGATTAAGGGCAAGCTAAGTCGTCGACAACAGGATCAGTTCACCCAACATCGCCTTGGATCACGTATACTGATTTTCATAATACATAGCACTCCCAGGCACTCTCGTTGGGTCCTTGAGCCTCTACATATGCAGCTCCTTCACCATTTCGCAAGTGGTGAAGCTCTCTGCACAACACCGGACTGTGGACAATGAGTCCCAAAATGCGTTTTTGGCGCGCTCAGAATCAAAAGATCCGCCTAGCCGGATCTGATATGCCAAATCCTACCAGGGACCGTACATGTCGACCAGTGTGTGTCGAACAGCACGCCTATACAAGTCGACAGCTGGCAAACTGTGTGGTATGCCAGCAGCCCGTCGCAGCTGTAAATCTCGAGAACCATAACCTTGGAAGCTCAGGAGACACACCATCCCCTTCGAGCCTTCTTATCTGCAAAGGGCATGGTCGGGTACCAGTCACGACTGGTTTCTAAGAATGGGCCTTGATTCGACCTTTAATAGGCCGCACGTATCCAGCTGTCATCCAATCATACCCAGTCTGTCTGCTGTCTCTTGGTTAAGGTAACCAATCGCACGTCAAGCTTTGGCGGTAAACATCCCGAGAAAGTTCTGCGCTAGTAACGTTAACGGTATTGATTACATAGCACGCGCGACGACAGCCCTTGATAGCGACAGCCGCCGCCGCAACTCCCACACTTGCTGACACGGAAATGTTGAAGCGGGCGAAATGCGACTACAATATCTACTTGACTTTCACTTCGGCATTCTTCCCATGGAACCAAAGAATCCCGCATCTTGGTCTCCTATAAACGGGCCCGCACGTTTCTATATTTAACGCTCAACTTTGACACAATGAACTCACCTGGCATTCTGGACACGATCTCCCACCGAATCCGCTACGTACAACAGACCCAAAAGGAAACATCCGGGAACAGTGACATGATCAAACGCTGCCATGAGAGCGCCACAATCAAGTTATGAAGTAACTTTCAGTACGCCGTTGTGGTTGCATTCTGGCAGGTGGTCCAACACCCTCGACAGCTTGCTGCTCTTGTGCACTTGGCCTAATTTGGCCGCCGGAGGGCATCTCCAGGTGGGAGACTGGAGGCTAGAGTACCTCACGCCTGAATCGTACAGTTATCACGAACTCTTACGGCTAAAAGGTCCTGGCCAAGATTACCATTAAGTGTTTGACGTTCGGCACTTCGACATGAACGGTTTTGCCGATATACACTGCCCTCTTCCGCGTACTCAATACGGGCTGCTGTCCGTCAATCCTTGTACAAGCCAGCCGCCGCTGCTCCGGGTGCAAGAAACGGCGTTTAACAACGCTTAACAGCTTCAGTCGAAGTCCACACATCGCGCTTTGCTAGCTGGCGATGCGGCATTCATCAGACCGCATTTCATCTGTGTTACCCTGCGAAGCCAGCCTGCGTTAGCTGCCACAAATCATCGCCGTTCCTCATAGCGTACTGTACGCAGTACTTCAAACGCAGGCGCATGAGAGGACAGAGAATAATACGTCGCGCCAAATTACATGGGACTACACCCCCTGTCGTGTACTTCCTATTGGTCACCTTCATGTGAGACTTGACTTCGCTTCACGCTCTCACTCACCACACATCTCGGCAATGATGATACAGCCCAACGCCTATGGTTTGCGGGCAAGGCGGGGTCCGTCTGAGAGCACGAGGAGGCTTTGGAACACCCAAGACGAAAGAAGACGTTCGGTTCGTTCTCCAAAGATGCGATTTGTCTCAACAGGACGAACAGGCGGAGTTAACTCAAGTCCTACAGGCAACAGTAATACCTCAGCACGATGGCTCGTACTAACTGCAGGGGATTGTGCTCCGCACAAGCATGCCAATTACGCCAGAAAAAAGTCTGGCACAGTGGTACATTCGCCCACAAGTTCGCCGAACGGGGCGAATGCAACGGTAGTTGATGCCCGTCATCTGCTCGGTGATCGACTAGCCAGTGACTAAGAACCAACAGCGAGTCCTTCCATGCTGTTTGATATGTACGAATTGGATTCATATCGAAGACTGGGGGTTCAATCCTACGCAGTGGACTTCTGACTGCCTGGCCAGCCTCGCTTTTATAGTTGACAGATGAGCAAAGGCAAGTCCATTCCAGCCCCCATAATCATCAATGGCGTGGTCATATCTGATGCTGATTATCTCTAGGAACCAGTCCGCTTAGATGCAAAGTCGCGAACAGCCCGTAGTCGCCTCTCAACCCCCGTAGGCCACTGCTAGTCCACAATGTCACGCGATATGCCCTGTCAAGATGGATTAAGGGGCCCGTTCAAGGTATATCGTCTCCGTTAGGATGTGAAAGCAGTCAACAATATGCCGCTCTTGAACACCAGCTTGCGCTTTGGCGAGACTATAGGTCCTGCCCATGAGAGGCTCGGTTGTAAGTGCAGGACCCTTGCGCAAGAACCATGTGCCGAAGGGGGATCAGGGGGTAGGAATCAAGCATGGTGTTGAGAACGGTCGTTGACAACGGCGACTCGTCAGAGCAGCTTGCGCATCTGAAGCGGTCGCGGTTGCTCGCGGTTGTCGTTGTCCGGGGTATTTACCTGAAGCCTTCAAATGTCCCTGGTCAGGCCGCTCCTTGTTAGGGCCCGTTTGGTTCAGCCAGCTGTTTTTTGGACGTGCTGATTTGGGGTACAAAGCGGAAAATGCAGCTAGAAAGCTACTGCTTTGTACCAAGCTCGCCAAGCAAAGACGTGTGGGCTAAAAGACGCGTTGTTGTAACCGGGGTTGTGATTCGTAGTTGGTTCTGCCAAGGGCATGAAGATAGAAAGAAGCAGAATTGGCCTGCATGGGCCCACTAATTGCTTTCTTGGGCCTTCCGAACCGCCTGCATTAGCGCGATACTTTTTGACGCAGCCAAGCTGGGTTAAATGGGCAAACTGACCCCCAACTGCCTGCATATAACAACTTGCTGTTTTGCAGGGGTCGATTTCCCATACAAAAGAAAAAACAGCTGGCTGAACCAAACGGGCCCTTAAACCGTCAGTCCAAAGAACCGGCGAACCAATGCCAGTGTGTGTTGGCCATCGGACGAGGTACCGATACAAGGACGACCGAGGTTAGAGGCCAGCAGTCCACCAATCCACCCCTGAACAGGCGCCATGTCACCCAATAGCTGGTGGTGTTCTCGACACACCCCATACCGTTTTAGCGACGCTCGTTTGCCCTTTCGCTTCTCCCCAGTAGGGGATGGTGGAGAATCGTTGACGGATCTACGGCGTCTCTCGAGGGCGTACCGCAGTAAAAGCGATTTTGCGCACAGTAGATTCGACAATGAGGCCTCACTTTCCGTCACTTTACAACTCCCATCAACCGGGAGTGATAATTCAGAAACGTCATCTGTTTTCTTCATCTCATGACCTCACCTCACCACACGGTCTTTGATGTACCATCCCAGCGGTGCACGGTTTGGCCGGAGATCTACATGGTCGTGCTGCCTCCCAGTGCGGCCGCTTCCCGCTCGCTTCCCGCTCACGGACACCAGTGATCAGGGCATCATTGACCAGGCTGGCGCGGTGCGCCCCTCCATACTCTCGTCACTCCGGGCTTCTCCGCCATTGCCTAGAGCTGTTACCAGAGGCACATTCCACTTGCAGGAACGTAGACTTTCTGCTAATCGACCAGAACCATACCAACAAAGGAGCCATTCATAACAGTCGATCATCCATCGACTTGCACTATCTTTATCGATGAGAAGAACCAGGCAGACCGGGCTAGACGTGGATGGATGTTTTCGGTAATACCGCTTTTTCTCATTCAACTGGGTTTCATCCTTCCCTCTTACAGTCTAGCATATCTAGGAGTCACCTCAGAACTGGGGCGCCATCGTCGCCGACAGACTTAGCGAACCACTCAAAGCTTGAATGGCAAGCTGGCATGCAAGTGACTCGCAGCGGCTAGAGCGGATGACCGAGCCCGCTAGGGCGACTGTGTAATCCGATAAGGCGACTGTGTGGGGCTATACAAATTCGCTGCCAGAGACAGCCAAGACCGCAAGCTTGGCATCGCTCCAAATCGGCTTGCGCGCTCGCATCACCACCACATCCTCACCAGAAGTCATCATCTTGAACGACGACAACGAGAGCTCAAAACGACCCTTTTCGAGGCGCTGATTTCACATTCACATGCGGGGGCCTCTCGCCGGCCCCCTGCACCCCCGGAACTAACCCTAACTAACCCTAACCGCTAACCCTAACGCTAACTAACCCTAACCTTCTCTGTTAACTTGGGGGACTTACACCTTTGCCCAGTGCATGTCTCCACACAGTCGCCTTATCGGATTACACAGTCGCCCTAGCGGGCTCGGCGGATGACACAACAGCGCAAGCGTCCTAGACTAGAGTAGGCCTAGTTTCTGCGGGTAGATAAAACCCAGTTGAATGAGAATTAGCGGTACCGCTTTTTCTCATTCGATTTGGATTCGCTCTAGCCAGCTGCAGTCTAGTATTGCCCACTTTTCCAAGCTGATCGGAAGCAAGACCCGCCCAGAGTGGGTATTTGAACGTGGTGGCAGGGATAAACCAGCTGTCTGGCACTCGCTTATATGCCCAGATAAGGTATGGCGGCCCGCTATACCCTTTCTGAGCGAATCCAAATCGAATGAGAAAAAGCGGTACAAGCTGCGCGGATACCGACCACTTGCTAGCGATACACGAGGCCCATTTCGGTTATTTGTTCCCGGCAGCGGTCGAACAGACGCATAATCGCGCGTTAAATGGACACCAAGCGCTCCGCATTTACATGCAGAGAGGAGGTGTGCGTCTAGGCTCCAGCACCAGCGGGCTCTATCACCCCGATCCTCACCACGTAGCTACGGGCACACCGCACTTGTTCATGAAAGCTCCGACCATCTGCTTCCTCGTGCGTTTCCTGCTTACCAAGCGTTGAAACGTTGGATAGTGAGGTCGGCATTGATTGAGCCGAAAAGGTTCTATCCGAGTTGCTGCATGCTGGTCTTCAAAACATGACCCCAAACCGTACTGGCCGCGTCTCTGGATTCCATCAGTTGCGGGGGTGTTTTTAAGGTCGCAAAGACCGAGGAAAAGGCGCGCCAAACAGCCCGAGTCTTAGTGTACATCTGAATGACCCCGGCTATCTCCATCCAGTATTTATTCCATGGGTCTTTGCTCTGACGTGTCATACCCTTGCTCCGAAAAGGAAAACACAAAAGAGAACACAGGCTCACACGCAATCTCTCTCGCACACACGCCGAGAACTCGACCCATTACCCGCGACTTTGTTTGTTACCACCTCTACCGACGGAAACTCTGCAACGACCGGCCCGCAGGGAAGAGCCGACGAGGGCCAGATATATACTTGATACATACATCAAACTTTAGCAATCCGGAAGGCCTTTGTATCATCAGGCGCGAACAAGTAGGCTGGTCATTGGAGTTAGCATCTCGTACTTGATGGACGTTTCGTTGCTGGCATTCAGGACGCAGTCTTGGCAGTATAGATGGGGGCCCGTATAGCGCGTTGCTGAGAGAGGTCGGTGTTTCTTCCTTTTCGTCAACAAGACTCGGTTCCTGTACTTCTCGTCACATCCTTTCTCTGTGCGCTGTGCCCCGTGTCGGGTAGCTCTGTCACTTTTTTTTTTTTTTTTCTGCTCGGGTCTCGTACCAAGTGTTGCAAGTACACTGTACAGCGTTCAGGTTCCCGTTTGTTTGTATCATCCACAGCACATCCCATTTCATGTCCGCACGCCATACCACACCCGCAATCCGGGGTCCCATTGGCGGCGGTCGTCACTCCATTGGGATTTGGGACCATTGGGGACCATCGAGACCATAGAGACCATTGGGGTCGCAGCCACGCTCAACCTCCACTGTAAGGTACCTTGCCTGGGCACCGCTGCCAAGTCTACCAAGCTGCGACTGGGCCCATTTGGGCTTTTGAGCTTGAGCGTTCGGTTTGGTGGGTCGTGGCCCTGCAACACAACCCAACATTCCTGTCCTCAGTCCACACCCATAGCTACCCCAGAAGGGGTCATGGGCAGCTGGCCAGTGTCAGTCAGCAGCGGAGCTCCAGCCAGCTAGCGTCGAGACGAGGGTGGTGCTTCCAGCCCGGAGCCACCTCGCCAGGCCAGCTCCTCCCGCGCCGAGTTGCAAAGTCTCCAGAATCGCAACCTCCGACGAAAGGCTGCTGCTTGCTGCTGCTGCTGCTCATCATCGTCCTCTCCCCAAGCATCTCACATAGCGCCCCTGCAGCAAGCATCATATCTGCTCCTCACCTCACATCAGTTTCTCCAAGGGTAGAGAAGGCACGGCCACCCCCCGTCACTCCGTCACCCCGTCACCCCCCGCCTCCACTACATACACGCACGCATCGCATCCGAGAAATCCTGCAGGCTGGTCACACTTTTTCTAACGCTGATTCATCAGGAACTTCACGATCCTACTGCACGCAAAGAGTCCATCCACCTTTGGGTACAGGTTGAGGGGTTCTGTTTACCCTGCGTGCTACCATATATCACCGCCGGCTGTCGTGTTTCTGCACCTCTGTCCGTTGACGGAGACTTGCTTGATCGCGTCTGGCACTGTCGGGCATCTTCCAGTCACATAGCTTCCCGTCTGCTATCTCACAGTTGAACCCCAGAGTTCATCATTTCCAATTTTCATCCATCACCAACTCCCATTTTTTAACAGCGCCTATTGCCTACATCAGCCGTACGGATTTCGACCTCTCACATATACTGACGGCGGCAACTCTGGGGACCGTCCTTCATCTTACGCGTTGCCATCATCGGTCCATATTCTAACGATTTGACCACTTGCCTTCAACCCAGGAAGCAGCTACGCCTGCGCACGATTATCGGGGTTTGGGCGTAAAGGACGCCAGCTTCAGTTGGGGGAACATTTGCTGAGATCCAAACATATCAGCATCACGATCACACATGGCGACTTTCACAGCTCTAAATGGGTCATCGCCCAGGCCAACTGAGATCTCCAATGGTGCTCGGGAGCCTGAACGCGGAAACGGACAGTCTGCTGGTCCAGACCCGAGATCCGCTAGTGATGTTGCAGTCAGCCAGAGAGAACGGGACCGGGAAAACTGGGGCACTTCGACCCGTGAAAGGCTTCCGTATCCTACGGCAAATTACCACGATGCTGAACCTGCCCCAAAACGGATGCGGGCAGATTCCGATTCTCACTCTCCCAGGCGAGAGCACAGGCCTTCACCCATTCCTACCGAGCGACCCGAAAAGTTTGAAAGAACAGAAAGAACTCCTATTGAACGACCCGAGAGGTTCGAAAGAACGGAAAGAATGGAGAGAATGGAGAGGCCCGAGGTAACAGAGAAGGCCGAGCAGTACGAACCTTCACGGCCTCAGTCGAACTCCCATGACCGCTATCCGTCTCCCCAGAAGGAAGGGTATCGTAGTTACGAAAACCGTGACAGCGATGACCGATGGCGCTCTCAGCAGGCCAGAAGTGAGAGGAACGCAAGCTACGATGCAGCTTATTCGGCCGGACCAGTATCCGGCCAGTCCGAGGAGCCCATGGGCGAACACATGCGCAGAGCGACCAGTCAAGCAGACAGCGGCGACTACGATAATCAGAGCCCCGATGGCGACGACAACCGGTACTCGGATCAGTATACCCCTGAGCAGCGCAGAGATGGCACCGTTCAGTCTGATCCCAAGAAGCGGAAGCGCAATTTCAGCAATCGGACGAAAACCGGCTGCCTGACTTGCAGACGGCGGAAAAAGAAGTGTGATGAGACCAAGCCTCAGTGTGAGTTTTTAGTCTGATCGTGAATTGCCTTTGGGTTATCTAACTGTTTTCAAGGTACCAACTGCATCAAGGGTTCATTCCAATGTGCCGGTTACCCACCACAGAGGGGTAACTGGCAGAAGCCCGAGAGCAAACCAGCCCAAGTCACCATCGAGTCCAAGGATCCCAACTATGTCCCTCCTGGAGCATATGGGATGCCGCAGCAACCGATCCCTCCTTATACCAGCAACACTGCCCCGATACTGAGCCAACCAAAGCAGCGCGAGCCTTTCCCGATGGCGCGTGGGCAGCAACCCACTCTCCGCATCACACCCCCTCAAGGACGGCCTCTTCAAAGCGACGACGACCGGCTCACGGCATCAACTCTTCCTAGTGCATCGGTTATTAGCCCAGACAACAAACTGTCTGCCCTGTCAGCTTATCCTTCAAACGTTTTCCCCACACCCATCAGTGCCCGGACACCCCTAAGAGAGTACGCGAGAGTGCCACCGCTCCATGACTTGACGAGGACGGACCCTGACCATCAACCACCACCTCCACCACCGCCTCCTCAAAGCGCCATTTCCGCACATCCTCCATACAATCTTCATGGTAGTCGAACGGACACGCCAACATCAGCGGTTCAGCCTCTAATCACGTCTCAGCCACCATCAAGTGCCGTACAGGCGACTGCGCAGCTAGCACTATCCCATGCGCAGTCACATACTCCGTCCAGCGCTACCGTGCCCCACGTGCGGAGGGAGAAAGATGAGATGATCAGTGGCCGAGCCTTTTATCCATTCGACAAGGAGCTTGTGCTAGAACGCGAGAGATGCAATGCAGCTTGTTGGAGATTCAATAACTCGACCAACCCTAGCATTGGCGTATCACCTGCTGAACGCGCACGACTTTTTAAGGAGATCTTGCACCCACGCGAAGGTGTTCAGTTAACGCCCAACCAACTATCACCCATAGGCCGTATTGGTCATGTTGGTGAACACGTTTCGGTCGAGGCCCCGTTCAACTGTGACTATGGGTACAACATCTCCATTGGCAACAACGTGTCTATCGGCCGGAACTGCCTGATCACCGACTCTTGCGAGGTACGCATTGGCCACAACGTCATTATCAGCCCGAATGTCAACATCTACACAAACAGCTGCTACACAGACTGGAGGCGCCGTGACGGAAACAGGGGTGCGCAGTTTGGCAAGCCAGTCATCATTGATGACGATGTCTGGATTGCTGCAAATGTGGTCATTTTGCCTGGTGTGAAAATCGGAAGGGGGTCAACGGTTGGGGCTGGATCAATCGTTTCGAGGGTGAGTTTTATTCTTTAGTCAACCTCCAAGAGTGTCAATACTGACGGGATTATGTTTAGGACGTTGCTCCTTACAGCATCTACATCGGACGGAAAGCAAGCATGCACCGAGGCATTCCAGCTTGATGCTGTTATTGTCTGGTCTCACTGTGATGGGCTCGACAGACGGCTGTGTGTCCCCACGCCTCCTACCGCGATCAGACCTCGATCTACTTATGTACTGGTCTTTCCAACCAACCACGGACTGCAGTTTCCAACCAGCGGATGAAACCCGTCTCTGTTTATTTCTCGCATATGTTTACCGTTATTTCCATTTTATTATCTTACTCCTCTCTATCTCCTCTAATTACTACTTGTCACATTTATGTGTGGGGGCGAATGGATCGATCGGCGGGAGGGTGGTTCGAAAGGAAACATGGGTTTGGATCAGGAAGAATGGATGGAATGGGATGGGAAAGGACAGGACAGAGAAGAACGACACGCCGCTACGATCAAATTGCCAGGATGTCGTTCGAAAATCGAAGAAGCATCATTATCACCATCCTCACGACTTTTATCTACGTCATGCCATGTTTCTACGAAGGAGGTGTCCCAGCGAGCGAGCGAATCTGGATGAACGAAACGAGTGCCTACGGAGGGGTGGTTCCAGGTTGGTTGACTTTATCTTGCGGTTTCGGCTATCTGCGACTTTAATAGCACTATATACCCCTTTGCTTATTATCAGGATAGGATAGGGTGGTTGGTTGGATTTAGAAAGCGTAAAAGGGGGCAGTAAGGAAGGATGATATAACTCTGGTAGTTATCGGCAGTAGTTGGGTAGTTAGTGAGTACAGGTAGTTGGTTAGCAACTAAGTTGATATGACGTTGGTCAGAATCTGCGGTGCCAACTCACCGTACCCAGGGTCACTTGATGTGCCATGTAACAGCTTCCAAGTGTCTACTCTCCGGTGCCTCACATGCCGTTGGTCACGTCGTCAAAGCATGCCCGTCTGTTTGTCGATCCGAGCTATCTCGGATTGTGGTCTCTCTTTCGTCAACTCCCGTGCATAAATGGCATGGGGGCGGCTCTTCCTGGTTGCATGCATACATACGAGGTACATACCAAGAAATCGGCAATACTGAGTACCGCAACGGGCCACATGGCCAGCCGTGATGCATAGACACTAGGTAGGCACGGTAAGCACTCGTGGCATCTAAGGGATATGTACATGTAGCCGCCTTGGACCGCGCGGACGCAGCAGCAGTGGCCGAGTGCATACCTAGTATCGGGGCTATGACTTGCCTACCCTACTTACCTGCATGGCGGTTGCGAGATGAATACTGTGCGCCATATATGCTTGCGTCGGGCGAAGTTGAACACCGGCTCACCGAACCGGCAGGTACGCTCGGTACGCAAGCGAGGACGGTACGGTAGAGCCGCACGCGGCCGGCTGCACGCGGCTGAGAGGCAGAGAGGCAGAGAGGCAGAGAGGCAGTGAGAGGTTCGCAAATCTTGATGCATGGCATGACGTATAGGAAAGGACTACAAGTAAAGAGTTTCCGCAGAAACTCGGGCCGTTCGTCGTCAGTTATTCGCATTTTAAGCACGTTTGAGGCATCTTTAGCATTGCAGACTCCTCGAATCTCTTTCAAAACCCAAACCCTAAGGCACTCAAGTTGCGTCTATATAATAGAGCCTGGGATAGCTCACAGCTTGCACACAAATTCTGTTAGTAGCCGAAGATGAACGGCCCGAGTTTCTGCGGTAAACGAGGCACATGACAAGACATACCTCTAGGTACGCAGGGTACGGTAACTGATGTGGCTCTATGCACCTGGAAGCTGTTGTTGGTTTTGATGTTCACATGTATGCAATAATTGGTATCGTGATATGCTGGTATATGATGGGGAGTGTTTCTATAGACTCCTCGCACTCGGGGCGTTTGCTCAAGTTACCTACATTATCTACAAGGCCGGCATATGTAGTTCGCCAACGTATATGTTGCTTTAGCCCCCAACTCCTTCTTCTGGATAACAACACTACCTAGTTTCCCTTGCATGCGGCTGTTTAAGTGATCGACAAAAGCTGAAGGCATTTTCATAAGCCACGTGCCAGCTTATATCTAATTTCGACTTCTTAGACAAAACCATGAGGTAAAGTCTCATTGCATTCCTTGGAAATGAAAAAAAAAAAAAAACAATCAATAGCGTTGTTTGTTTGTTAGCCCCCAAATCAATAGCTAACCAGCTACCTCCCTGTATTTCAGCTGTACATGTATTGAGGCTGAAGGTTTATATGCCAACACGTGGATCTGTGCCTCCCGCACGCATACCTCCAGAAAACACATGGCCGGTTAACCAGCTTGTTACCCTGATCAAGTGTCTCAAGTTCCAACAGTTGTTAAAGAAATGCAACCGTAGTATCCCGGAAAAGAAAAAACATGGCATGAAAGATGAATGCGCGATGAACGTTACAGCTGAAGTTTAATAACCACTCAAACTCAGCTGGAGTGTCTTGTATACCAACACGGTGTTCCGGTGCCTCCCTCAAGCATAGCATAAGAAACCACATGGCCAATAACTACACAACCCTGATTTTACGGCCCCAACAACTGTTCAAGAATTCGTTCAAATTGGTAACATTATCGACGACAAAAGATTGTATGAAAGCGTGGTAAGCTGAAGTTCGTGCGTTGTATCCACATCGGCCACATGTCACACACGTGGTTTTATGCCTCACGGAAGGATACCCAAGAAAACACACGGTGAACAATGCAAGCGTGGCATTATATAGAAGGGTGACATGATCGGCCGAAGCTAAAGGCGCGAGTTATTGCCATTTCCACATAACGGTAGTTAGGAACAGGAAGGTAGCATGTTGAAGTTACCCCCACATATGAGTGAACATTTCAACGCTTGTTCTGCCCCCTCCAAGGCCCAAGGACTGAGTTCCTGGTTATTGACACTACCTACCCATCTCTATTGTATCTGGCAATGAATGATACCGAAATCGTAAGTGGGATTTTGCCATGGTGCTTTGGCAGGGATTGTTTGTCGAGATAGCTTCACACGTGTGTGTGCTGTGCCTTACGAAAGCATAAAACACATGGTTGATTAGCTTAAAAGTACCTATGAAAGGGTATATGATTGTCAAGCTGAAGAGCTACTACCATGTGCCGGTAGTTAGGAACAGGAAGATGGCATGTTGGAGTGGGTGACCATCGTTGATTGAGCAGTTCACCGCTTGTTCTGCCCCCAAAGAGTGATGCCCTGTAGTCCGTTGATAGCAATACATAGTATCGAAGACATGGGTGGTAATATGTCATGTCTCTTGGCTCTCATTATTTGTCGAGATAGCTTCACACGTGTTACACATGTTTCTGTGCCCCATCGTTACATGTAGATATCATGGATATCAGTACCCTACTTGGACCCCAGATGAATAGAATAGATATTGCGAACGGGAAGAAGTTTGTTGGCGGAGGATCATACCATATGTTTCGAGCTGGTGTGTGGGTTGTTAGTGTTGTAATCGAGTGATTAGAGATAGTATGTTGGAGGTGAAGAGCGCTATGAGAGAATGGTATAGAAACTCACGTGTCTTATCGTCGTCATCTATTCTTGGTAATGAACCGATCTTTCTCCGAGTTTCCTCCAACACGAAGGGTATGAGTTCGTAGAAGTATAGGTACTACTTCTGCCTGTGCATGGGGAGAACCTTTGAGTTACCCTCATTGCGAAGGTCTGATCAGCTTCTCTTCCCCGTCTTTTGACTCGGTAGCTGTCTCATCACTCTTCTTACACTTTCCCGTTCATACCTTCTTCACCTTGCTTTTTGAGGACTCAGGTTACGTGTCTCTTCACCTTCTTATCGTTCTTTGTCAGGTCTCCCTTGATAGCATTTCAGCCATGGACTTCGGACCAAACCAGCGGCGTGAACACGCAGAAGCCCCGAGTGTTCTGAAAGCATCACAGTCAGAGGAAATAAAGATAATGAGATAAAGACGCTTGCATACCTATTCACAAGGAACTAACTAATAATACAACCACCCTCTGTATGCCATCCACTACCACTAGCCGCACACAGCGGACATCAACCTGATAGCGCCCATCCCCCAGGCCACCGGAACCGAGATACTGCCTAGCTCTGACTGCCAGCCCACTCACAAGCTTACTTCTTCTGCTTCTTCGTACTCCTATCACTAGCATTGCTGAGCACGCTGGCACTCCGCTTGTGCTGTTGCGCCCCTGCACCTGCTCCTGCTCCACTGCTACTACCGTTCTCATCCGCCTCTTCCTTGATCTTTGGCTGATTGCTGCTGCTACTTTCAGCTCCTTTCTCGCCCGCTGTCGCCGCTGCTGCATCTCCTTGTCCCTTTTCGCCTCCACCCTCCTTTGTTGTCGCCGCAGGATCTTCTCCATCCTTCTTTTGTTGTTGTTGACCTTCACCTTGTTGCTCCTTCTGCGCCTTGGCGTCCTCTGCCTTCTGATCCTTCTTCTGCTCATCAGCCTGAGCAGACTCAGCCGATTTATCCTTGGCATCGTCACCACCACCACCGACATCTTTCTCCTTATCGCCTGCTCCTCCAGCTTCTCCTCCTCCTCCTCCCTCCTCCTCGCCATCCTTCTTCTCCACCGTCTCTCCTCTCGCCTCCGCCTCTTCCCTCGCAGTCTTCTCCCTCTCTGCCTTCTTGGCCTCCTCAAGCTTGATCTCCGCATCGACCTTATCGCTCATCTTCCTCAGATCCACCAGCGTCGTGACCGCGCCCCAGAGGACCTCGAACTGCGCCGTCACCGCCGCCGTAGGCATAATAAGACGGGCGGGGATGTCGAGCTCGAGGAGCAGGTTCGTGATGCGCATCTGCTGCTGACCGGACTTGTGACTATACAGCTTGTTGATCTTCTCGTAGCGGAACGTCGGGCCGCTGCCCAAGCGGTCGTGGTGAGACACGCCGTAAACCTGCTCCTCGTTCTCCGACAGCTTGCGACGCTCGGGCTGCTGAGGGCCCTTCTTCTTGTTGGCGGCCGGAGCGGGAGCAGGAGCGGGGGTGGGCGGCTCGGCGGGGGTGGCGGGAGTTTGGGACACCGAGTCGCGATGGTGGTGGCCGTGACCGTGACGGTCGGCACGTTCACTGCGGCTTTCGTTGCGGTGGTGAGAACGAGAGTCCTGGCGCTCATGACGCACAGGAGGCTCGCGGGCGGGGGGCTCGTGATGGTCATTGGCACCGGCAGTGGATGAGGCAGCGAGGCTTTCCCTCCGGCTAGCGGCCGGAGGCACTTCGGGTGCGGCTGCGACGGCGGCGGCGGCGGCAGCGGCAGCGGGCGGAGCAACAGCAGCAGCAGCAGCAGCTGGGGGGACGCCGTTCTCGGGACCCATGATGCTCTTGCGCTTCTTGGACTTGTCCACGTTGAGAAGGGTCTGCAGGAGAGACTGTAGGCCGGCGGAGGTCTTGAAGGAGTTGATGTCCGACTCGCTTGCAGGGTAGTCGAGACGGTTGTACAGCTCACGACGCTCCTCGTTGAACCGCTCCGTACGGGCCATGATACGTTTAATCTCGAGGAGCAAAGCTTCCTCCTCACGAGCCTCATCGTTGGATCGTTTCAAGGTGTTTTCGGCGAAGCGTTTGCGGTTCTGTTCCTGTTTAGGATCGAAGTGTAGCATCATCTCATAGAGCTCAAACTCGGGCCTGGTCATGTACTGAGCAGGCTTCTGAACGGCCATCATCTTGGCAGCAACTTCGTAGTATCGCGCTTTCAAGTCCTCCATGGTCCGGGGCTTGGATGCCGGCACCACAGCCATGCCGTCGGGAGTCTCACCCTCGGGCTGTTGAGGAGCGTACTCGTACCTGTCCCAGATGATAGGCCATCGTAGATCAAAATCCTTTGCCAACTCCAGCAGATAGTCAGTTTCCTCCTTGGTCCAGTCGGGATGCTTCAAGTTGGTGTTGTATTGATCCTCGCTGTACTGCGGTACCGACACCCGGACGTTGAACTTTGCAAATGACGAGTCCTCGGGCTTATCGGCCGAGTTCTCTGCTGTCGCCGCACTGTCTTGCCCTTCAGCTGAACCATCTTGCCCCCCTTCAGTTCCATCCGGTTTCCTCTTCCAATGCCTCAAAACAAGGGCGCCATCATCCCCTCTGGCCGAGTTCGTGAAGGCCTTCAGTTCCCATTTGGCGGCCGGTTTGCGACTGACCGTCCTTCGCTTTTTGAAGATAGAGACCTCGGGGACTATGGCGATGGGGTTGTCGCCACCCAGGTTTTGTACTTCACGAGCGAGGCCCTTTAGGTTTGGACGTGGTGCAGCAGTCCTTGCCTTTTTGGACGGCCTCGGCCCGGCATGGTCTGAAGGGAGGTTGAGGACGTCACGGACGTCGTGGGATGTCATGATGTGGGGCGCCGGGAGGAGGGGGTTAGGAGTCGAAAACAAAAAGAGAAGGACACCGAAACCCGCAACCAGGAACTGGGGATAAATAAAGATTTAATACGCAAACGAGCCTGTAACTTCAGTGAACGTCGAACTGCCTCGGACCGCCCTACTCCCAAAATTCATCAAAAGAAAGCCTGATATAAAATCAACTCGCGATATTAGGCAGAGCACATTACAAATTTGGGTTTTAGCTTGTGTCCCGTAATGAAGAATATCGAAACTGGATGAACTGCAAGCTGGCGATGGGAATCTTGTTGAAACGACGCGGTCTGTGGAATGTTGGTTGTCGCTGGAAAAGATTCTTAGTGGAGACCTTCACGCTTTCACAACCACTTGGAAGGGTTAGGGTTGGTCTCGAGGAAGCGTGAATGCACGTGACTGCTCATTGCCTGCCGCTCACAGAAGGGAAGGCCAGACCCAGGCAGGTGGAAGCGGAGCCCCTGGGACTCTGGATGGCCCCGGCTCGATTTTCTGAACGTGGCAGCTTCCCAAGGCCAAGCTCTCTCATTGCGGTCGCGACTTTCGAGTGTGCTACAGTGAAAGGGTGCAGCATCCACCACAGCGCATCACCAACATTCCCGCCCCCCCTCCGTCCCTCAGTGTACCTATATACAGCATTGGCGCAACAACCACCAGACGGGTACAATAACAACCACGGTCGCCGCCTCTTTTCCTCGACAACAATTACCCAATCGCCCTGTTCGGCGCAATATATAGAGACAACACAGACACACCACAACCATGAGGTCGTTCCTCCCGCTGCTCTCGCTGGGCGCCGTTGCTCAAGCGCTCCACTTCTTCATCGACGGCACCACCCCCAAGTGCTTCTACGAGGAATTGCCCAAGGACACTCTTGTGGTTGGCCACTACACGGCAGAGGAATGGGACGACCAGAGGCATTCGTGGCAGAAGCACGATGGCATCAACATCTTCATTTCTGTAGATGTATGTTTTGATACCTCTTTAAGCTACCAAAGCTACCCCTGACCCCTATCCATCCCACCTATTCCAACCACCACCTACCTACCCACCTACCTACCTTCCACGACAGGCAGTCTCTTCCCCCTTATTCCTTGCCTTGACGATAACTAACAAACCCTTCCCCTCTCTAGGAACTCTTCGACAACGACCACCGCGTCGTCTCCCAGCGTGGCGGCCCCGGCGGCAAGTTCACCTTCACCGCCGCCGAGGCGGGCGACCACCGCATCTGCTTCACGCCCACGTCGACCTCAGGCCGGTCGAGCTGGATGTCGGTTAGCAACCCGAACGGCGGGATCAAGCTGACGCTGGACATGGCTATCGGCGAGTCGAGCGCGATCGAGAGTGCCGACAAGGGCAAGCTGCAGGATCTGGCGACGCGGGCCAAGGATTTGAACAACCGGCTGCAGGATATCAGGAGGGAGCAGGTTTTCCAGAGAGTAAGTCTTCTCCCTTTCGCCGAATGGGGTGGGATGGGGGATGTTTGAACCCGGGAGGGACAGAAGCTAACAGATAATCTTCAACCAAAACAGGAACGCGAAGCCGAATTCCGTGATCAATCCGAATCCACCAACTCTCGCATCGTCCGCTGGGTCTTGATCCAGCTCATCGTCCTCGGCATCACTTGCGCCTGGCAGCTCTCGCATCTCCGCACCTTTTTCATCAAGCAGAAGCTTACGTAAAGAGCTTCCACCACTTTACCCAAATATGGGTCATATGGGAGGGCTCATTTGCAACAAAAGGTACACAGATGTAATAGTGCGAGCGGCATATGAGGGTCGGGGTTATAATAGGATATGGTCTATCTTTCTTTTTTGCCTAGATAGACAGGCTCCGGGCGTCAGGGATGGGATGAGGTTCACCCATGCTATGCCAAGCCAGAAAGGACAGGCTATGATCAAAGAGAGAAAAGATGCTATAGGCGGGTGGGTCGTCCTCAGCGACAGAGTGACGAGAAAGTCTAACGAAACGTTTTAAAATGTACTACGCATGCTTCTATATAGCATGAGCTGTCATGCCTTGATGATATATAATACACATACTTCATACAACCAACACTCACGCATCACACATCGGGCGAATACCACTAATCAAGCACAAACCAAAAAGATGCGCGCAGAGATACTGACTCACCTTGGTTGCTTTACATGCTCCTATATAGCATGAGCTGTGATGCCTTGATGATATATAATACAATAGCCTACTCCAATCACACTCACATATAACGGCAAGACATGTAGACAAGACCAAGAACAATTATGCGAAGAGATATTCACGAAGGTTGCTTTACATGCTCGTATACAACATGAGCTGTCATGTCATGCCCTCGATGATATATAATACAGACAATTAACTTTTTCACACAGCACTCTCACACATACATCTACCTCGGTAGAGACATTTCAACACACAAACACTGACGAAGAATATATATACGCTGAGATACCAAACGTAGTGTAGTTGCTACATTCACATCAATCTCTCGTCTGCGAGATAGCGTGGACTATCATGCCCGCCCCTAGTGGTAGTATATAAATGCATATAACTCTCTCATACAACTCCTTCTTACAACCCCTCCCCACAGCCCCTTAGAACAACAACACTCACACATACCTGTACCTACAACAAAATATATCAACACAAAACAAGCTCCAAACAAGATACATATGGACACAATCCCATAGAAATACCTACACAGTAAAATCACAATTCACTCGTTTGGCTACATACTTACTTAGGCCTCGTTAACCTCGACCTTCCAAAATTCCATTGTTTCTGATAATTAACAATCCAGAGTCTTTGACCACAGCATACCTCCTCCCCAACGGGTATCGAGTTCACACAGCCATACAGCTTATTCACAAATGCATTGTCGTAAACTGCATTGAAATGGGGGCCAAAACAAAACAACACAACACAAAACAACACAACACAAAACAACACAACACAAAACAACACAACACAAAACAACACAACACAACCAAATCAAAACCGACCCACTACTAACTTCAACAAAAACTTGTAGAAGGGAGCAACAAATCAGGATTCAGAGCCATGCTGCTGAAAGGAAAGTCTTGTGGAACGGGGGCATGTAGATAGAGAGTAAGGTAGAGAGAGACTCAAAACTCAGAATCAGAACAGAAGATCACCAGGAAGGTTTAAAGATGCTTCCCTCTGTCAGCCCGAAGGCATCAGGAAGAAAGAAAGAAAGAGAGGGCCATTAAAAAAAAAAAAAACGAGTAAGACGGTCGGTCGTCATTGTCAGAAGGGAGCAGAGCAGAATCAAGTGGCTGGCTGCAAAGAATTAGGGAGGAAGGAACAAGCTGCATTGTATTGTCTAAGGTCTGAACCTAAGTAACCTACGCTATCTCTCTATCTACCTCTACTCTTCCTGAAGTCCGTCCATCCTTCTTACTGTGTACAATTCAATACTAGTTTGTTTGTTGCATAGTTTGGTTCTTCGATCATAGATGGGTTGAACAGGCAGGAGAGTTTAGGAGCTCTCATTGGCCATTAAAGAGAGGAACTGTCCTCCGTTTAAAACGACATAAGACAATAGCAAGGGCTTAGGACGCCATAGAAGCCTCTTATGGGTATCCTATTATGCCTCTCTCCTCCGTCTCCTTCAAGGCCTTTAAGATTAGAAGATATCAGTTTCACGGCGTTTACCCGATAGAAAGCCGAACGCTTGCCTATACAATATCCAGTAAAGCTTTGGCTCTTTTGTACCACACTAACAAACAAACCAGGGGCAGGGTTGAATTGTATACCTTTCTGAGGACCTCCCTCCCGTCGAGCAGCTTCCGGAAGAACGAACACAAGACCGTCGCCCTTCCGCTTCTTATTTACCTAACCTAAGCCACCTGATCAGTTCCTTGGTTCCAAGCCGAGTGTCCCTATAATCCCTGACAAGGCACACTACCGGCTGAAAAAAAAAAAAAAAAAAAAAAAACCCCGAAAACTTTGTGTCCCAAATCAAGCACCTGTGCATGTGCAGCTAATGAACTTTCCAGGTGGGAGGTGTACTGTATATTGATATGGGGGGGGGGGGGAATTCGCTATCCGTATACCTAACCTAATTCCAAATCAAAAATCCAAACGGCAACGGTGGCGGCGGCGCAAAAAGGAACCCTCGCCGCTGTCCTAAGAAGAAGAAAAAGACCCAACGAAGAAAGGGGAAAAAAAAAAAAAAAAAAAAAAAAAAAAGGTAAGACAAAACTCTCAAAATGATAGGAGGCTGAGGCCCCGTCCTCGTCCTTTCTCCTTAAACACCACTGCAGGAGCCCCAAAATCCGAGGCCACCTTCAACTGATGACTTCCATGATTCGTTACTTTTGGAACTCTTTGGCCGTCGTGTGCTCGGGCGATTGGCAGTGCATCTTGTACCCGTTTTCATCACAACAAAATTTATCGCACCGTAGGCAGTACCAGCGGAGGCTTGCCGCCCAATTGCCGACGCCATAGAGGATATACCAGACGGGCCAGCAAAACACAAACACATTCGATAATACGACGAAAAGGGCCAACAAAAACCCACGCTGTCTGGGCCCGAATTTGTCGCCGGAACGGTCAGGGTTTAGACCGTCCGCAACCCAGGTCCAAATCCGCTCCGCCTCGTACGTCGTGTACCAGGTGATCCCTAGAACTATGTAGAGACCTATTAAGGCCCATCCTAACGTTGACCATCCAAACCATGACCATCCATCATCCAGAGCAGTTGGCGCCTCCGTCGGAGGCGTCGACGGGTATTGTCGTGGTAAAACCGGCATCGTGTCGAATTATCCCGGTGTTCGCGTAGCAGCTTGGAGTAGACGAAGGGTTTTGGAAGGGGCTTTGGACGGGAGACTGTTTGGGCGGAGAGGGGCCCGTCAGAGGGGGCAGGTAGGGCCTGAATAGGGCACAGCCTTCCTCAGGTAGAGCAGGGAGATCTGCAACAACCCCAAAGAAGCTTCAAAGAGGACGCCTTCGTGGCCAGCGCCGGATGAGTCTTCCACTCTCACAGGAGAATCGTGATTGTGGATCTGTGAAAGACGGGAGGCTAAACCCCAAGCTGATGATGGTACGTGGTGTTCGACGATGACTACCTTACTCGGTGGAATGGGTGGTGGTTGCTGTTGAGTGCCGGCTAAGGAGGAAGAAGGGGATATCGGGGATGATAGTGCTGACGCCCGAGGTAACGGTGATGGTGGTTGGCAAAGATGTTTTGGACCAAGGATCTGGGAGTGACGGTGGTGATCGATTTACTAAACTTAGACGGCGAATCAAGAGGTCAGGGTCAGATGGCTTGACTTGGTCAACTGGAGTGGGTAATATGAGGGCAACTTACAATGGTCAAAACTTGGTTGCTTGCCGGAGGAAGAATCCACGAGAGGGATGCAGGGCAGTCTAGAATAAATATATCTTAGGACTTGAGTAGTGATGGGGGCGACTACCACAGGGAGCTTAACGTACGGGAAACAACGACCTGATTTGTTTCCTGATATTTGTCTTCAACTGATTGACAACTTCCACGAGCGAGTTTCTGCCACGACAGCTACCGATGGAACGATGGTTGATGTTTCCGATGCTAGTGTCGAGAACAAGTGGTGAATAGAAAGAAGAAAGAAAGTGGGAGAGACCGACAGGAGAAAGAACGGCTCAGAATATAAACCCCTCTCATTCCAGTGATACGTGGTCCTTCCTGTACCTCACGAGAGGCCTCACTTTCTTTCCGCTAGGCCATGGCGCAGTTACCACATTATCCTCGAAAATTGAGGTTCAGTGTTGTGTAGAAGACGCAGGGTTGAATGTCTGCCAGATGCGTTTGGCGGTTGTCGAAGAGCATGTACGTGGTTGTCAGACACCTTTAACCCTGCATTCCCGAGCCTCAATTTCGAGAGATAATGCGGTATATGCAGCAGGTCCGGAGGTCCGAGGAGCAAAACCCGACGAGGCATGGGCGGCCTCGGTCCAAGCTTGTATAGCAAGTAATAACCGCAGATGTGGCAAGCTGAAATCAACGAAAGAATAAAACAAAGCTTAGAAGGCACCAGAGAGGTATTTTCGAAGATGAAATAAAATTCCGCCGTCTCCCCTCCATCATATCAGACCGTGAGAACAACCGAAGAGGATAAGATAATTAATACAATGAAGGGTCAGTGAGTGAGTGGATATAATGATTATTATACGTAGTTCGGAGATGTATAAGATGCTGACAAGACAACAATAGCGCGCAACAACAAACAAGGTAGACAATGACAATAGACAGACAGTAACAAGCTCAGAACCACACACCCGCGAACAGCAACACTAAAACACCGAGGCGCTCCGTTCCAATCAAAAGTGAAGACTCTTTCCTCTTTTCCCCTTTTTTCGTTTTCCTTAGATCTTTTCAAACTTTCTCTCCCGACTTTCCCTGTCACTTCCCTCCCTCCTCCCTCATGTTTCCCCCTCCTTCCCCTTTCTTCCCACTCCGAACCGCGTCTTCCAGCGGCAAGATGAGGGAGGCTTGACCGTTTGCACGGGTTTGTCGGGAAAGAGGCAGCTGTCATTAGAGACGGAATCATCCGAGACAGCTTTCCTCCACGTGACTCGGCTCGGCCTTCCATAGATAGCGGCCCGGCGTCGTAAATCCTAGCATCCTCTCGCAAACCAAGGCCAGCCAAGAAGGGAGGGAACAAGAAATAGTAAAAAGAGGAAAGGGTTCCCGGGGAGGTCGAGAGAGAGGAAGCGAAGATAGCGAGAGACAGAAGACTGAGTCCGGAATACTAATCGTATGGTCGTAATGATGTGCCCCAGGTAGATCAAGCAAGTAAAAGACGCCAGATGCGCGTAGCCGAGTAAGACCGCTATGAAAAACAAAGGAAGGTATCCTCTATAGTCCCCATGCAAAAACATTTGAGAACCCCATGTTTCGGCAAATTCATACAACAGGACTCGTCCCCTCTTCGGGAAACCCTCTATATAGATGGGACGAAGACTTGCTCCCCACATTCTCTCCTTTTAAAAGCTAGCCGCACTGTTAGCGGTGGGGATCATCAACACAGCTGCCACCGTCTTTGGTTGTTGCTCACTCAAGGATATTATTAAAGCAAACGGACACAAAATCAGCACCAGCCTTTTCAGCTGCAGCACAGGGCCTTCCAGATGCCCTTGATGCCGCCTTGCTGTTGCTGTTGCTGGTTAGAAGGTGGTGGGTTCGTGTTCTGTGTGGCAGTGTGGGTCATTGTCGCAGTTCGTTGCGGAGGCTGCTGCATGTTGTATGGTTGCGCCCCAGCTCCCGCCGACTGGGTGGGCGTGGGTTGGGACTTGTAGGCCCGGTTATTCTGCACGTTGACGTTTGGTTGCTCTTTCGCCCGCTGCCCCGGCTGAGCTGGAGGCGAGGGCTGCGGGGCGTTTAAACGAGCGGCCGTCAATTGAGCTCGGGGGTCGCTTGCGTGATGGGTCGTGGGCCCCCTCGAATTGTGGATCTCCATAGCTGAGGGCCCAGGTCTCGCGTTTGGGTTGTGCAAAGCCCCAGGCCGGTCCCAGTCCCCCTTCTTGTCGGACTTGTTAACCTTCATCCAGTCATACTCGCCGTCCTCGACGCCACCGGCATCCTTGAGCGCCTGAGAGAAAAGTTCGCGGAGGTAGTCGTAGTCGGGTTGGTCCTCGAAGCCAAGGTTGCGGACGTATGTGAGGTATTGGGCAAACTGTTCGGGGAATCCTTCGCAGAGATCTTTGATGGCAGTGGTCTGCTTCTTCTCGCCAATCTTCTCATACTTTTGCTTGTTAGTAGCAGCCTTGAGGCCTTGCCACGGCAAGCCACCGCGGAGGAAGTACATGAAAACGTGGCCCAAGGCCTCGAGATCATCTCGTCGGGATTGCTCGCGGCCAAGATGGGTGTTGATGGACATGTAACGGGCAGTTCCCGAAAGCGATTTCCTCTCGCGGTAGGGAATGTGCTGCTTGGTCTTGGGGTCACGGTACTGCTTGGCCATACCGAAATCAACTACGTGGATGACATTGGCGGTCTTGGTTCCTTGCCTTCCGATCAAGAAGTTGTCGGGCTTGATATCGCGATAGATCAGGTTCTTCTCGTGGATGGTTTGGACACGGGACAACTACGTAAAGGTTAGATTACCTCGTTTCAGGAGACGCAGGGAAGATGACCGGCCAACATACCATTTGCTTGGCGACCATAACGACCGTCTTGAGACTGAACCGGCGATTGCAGTGGTCGAAGAGATCTTCTAGGGAGGGACCGAGGAGATCGATAACCAAGATGTTGTGAAGACCTTCTTGGCCGAAGTAGTAGACATTAGGAATCCCAGCTGTAGATACAATGTTAGCAAGGTACCATGACAACTCGATAAAGGCCTGTACTAACGGCATCCCACAAGGATCTTGTATGTCCTGTACTCATCGCGAAGCTGGGGAGCATCACTCTTGCGCGGCTCCTGTAATCATAACAATTGTCAATCCAGTTCATCCTACGTCGCGGATGGAGACGGCGCGACGAGCCGATGTCCGAGAGGAGGACGTACGAATTTGATGGCAACCTGCTGGTTATTGAGGAGGTTGGTACCCTCGAAAATGACACCGAATGAACCCTCTCCGATTTTCTTTCCCACTCGGTAGTGTACACCGACGACGTTGGAAGACGTCGACGAAGCCATTGTGTCGGATTGTCGTCGCTCAAATTGATTATCGTGTGTTTTTAGTAAAGGTTAAGGGTCGACGGAGTCGTGATTAAGGGTGATGGTCGTCAATCAGGATGTCGTCGCACGTCTGGGCAATTGAAATCGGCGGTCAGTAATTGTTGAGGATAATGATTGTATCGATGACAGGAACAGGCTGCGATGCGTGTGTGCGTGGTGCCGATAACAACGATGACGGATAACGTCCCCAGACAGGAGACCTAGGGGCCCATGTGTGTATTGCGTAACTGGGTAGGAGGGATTGACAGGAAGGAGGTGGAAAAGGAGGAAAAAGTGCAGTGGTGTGTGGGAACCTGAATTGGCAGACGATGGTTCCCACGGGTGTGGCAAGGCAAGGCTGTCTGTGTGCAATAGGGATGCAGGGAAGGAGGCCTGGTTGTGCCTGGGGACCAGCCGACCAGGCCATGACGGAAAGAGATCATTCAGAAGCGGGCCACTCCACGGCCACGCCCACAGCAAGAGGGACAAGCGACGAACGAGCCAACACTCACCCTGGATTCTCGGTAAACACGCTGGGTCCTCTTTCTCGGTCGTAGTCGGTGAATGGACGGGGCTGGGTTGGCGGATGCCGGAAGGGAAGGGCTTCTGTTCGGAATGCAGCGACGAAAGTCGGGAAACGGACAGGAGGTCCTATTCGAAGATGCGACACGACGAACGACGACGACGGTGACAGTGACTGAATTGCTTTGGAATTCTGCAATTCAGGTTCTTTGAGATTGACCAAGTATAGGTACTGGAAGACCGGGATACGGGGGCACAGATGGGTTGCTGAAATTGGGCCGATTCCTAGGGTGGAGTGCCGTGGTGATTACGAGAGGCTTCCCCAGTCGTCTGTTGCTTCTTTGCGCAAGCGAGGAGGAGTGGTATGCGAACGGATTGAAGGAGGCTCAGAGGGTCGCGCGCTGGAGAGAAGGCTGGGATTGATGGGATGGGGGACGAAGGATCCGTCTACTCCGTGGTGGACAACTTGGATGCGAGCCGCGTTCTCTCAATGACAGACCCCCAAAAGGAAAAGGAAGAAAAAAGAAAGACGTTTGTCGTCTGCAGCGTCTGCTGTCGGGGCAGAAGTGGTGAAAGGGGGCAGCAGACGGACGCGGATAAATGACGATGGATCGGGTTTTGGGGGTGGCGGGCTGCCGAAGGTGGTGAGAAGGAGAGAATATGGAACGGGACTCGAAAGGAGGCAGGACGGCAGCGAAAGAGAGCGAAGAGAGGGCGGCCAGAGGGGGGAGTCGGGAACGGAGCACTGCACCTGCTAGCGCAGACGGAAGGCGGGCGGTGGTCCAGTACGTCCAGGGCAAGTGGAGAATCCTGGAAGCGGAATGGCTTGACCTTCAGGCCTTTTGACTCTTCGTCCACTCTTCTCTGGCCAGGGAGCGCGGGCGGATCGCTGATTGATTGAGGTGCCCGATCAGGTGCACACCACCAACCCCAAGCCCCGGCCAACGAACGACGAGCTTTCTGACCACTGCTGCAAAATGCTGCACCGTCCACCTGCACTGCGACGAGAGACTGCGCTGCGGGAAGAGACTGGACTGGCTGGTGTGCTGACTGTGACTGTGAGAATCACAAGTGGTGCCCTGAGGAGAAGCAAAGTGGAAGGGCGGGAGTGGGAGCGACGGCGGGAGCACCGTTGCGGCCATCCTGATCCAGGTCCCAGTCCAGTCAGCGTGCGTGGACAACCAACAAGTGGGCACCTTGTTCACGCCAGCCTTTCACTAAAAAAAAAAAAAAAAAAAAAAAGACACACACAATTCACTACAAGAAAAAGGCGCGAATTGATTGTGTAAATCTATCAAAAGTTGGTGTCAACAGACTGCGCGCCAACACTGCCATACCCAGATGGGGAAGCCGTTGCCGTGGAGGTTGACGGAGCCGAACAGGTCGGTGAGATTGGACAGGACTTTCTGACGGACCAGAAAAAGCGAGGCGGATAAAGTGACTGTGTGCCCGCTAAAGTGACGGATCTCTAACCCAAAGGAGAAGTGCGTCAGGCATGTCCCTACAACATCGACGACGACCAAAGTCAAAAGTGAGCAGCGTAATGAAGTATTTGGGTAGAGATCTAAAGCGGAGAGCCGTAGGATATTCCTTCCTCCTCTTCTTTATCCCCTCATCAGTTTCGCTAGGATCTTAGTTCAGATTCAGAGTGGCAGGCGCGAAGCACCGGCGGACGCAGCAATCAACAAGGCACCGTCAACAAATCGCCAGTCCATAACGGCGAAAACCAAGGACATGCCAGGCGACGCCAAAGAAGCTTGAGCAAGCAAGAACACCAAGACCTCCAGTGATGATAGGACCGTGAAGGTGAAGGTGATAGCGACGGCGATAATATAGCCAAGGCTTCTCTAAACTACTGCACCCTCCAAAAACTTGGGTGGGTCAGTCTCCTTTGGGTTAGAGGTCCGTCACTTTATCAGGGCATACAGTTACTTTATCCGCTCGAGAAAAAGAGTTGTCGCGGCCACAGCAAACCAAATCAGCAAGCAGCCCACGCCAAGGGGCACTGGCCCAAGGGGCCCCATTCATTTCTGGAAATACGATTGGCTCGCATTGCCCTAGCTCCAATATTTTCTGTCGCCAGGGGGGCATGGAGGAGGACGGCCTATGCAGAGACCCCTTTCTGGTCCGTGCTTTGATGTTAACCTGTTGGTTTTTCTCCTCGAGGCTGCGCCGTTTCCAAGACACATGCATGGCCGAGACAATGCAACCAAACAATCAGATGCTAAACTGGTTTGTGTTACTTTTGGTCATACGCTGAATTTCGCCAATTTGAGGAACAAATGGGCAATAAATGAGGTTATTCATGCTGCAATGGTCTCGGGACTGTCAGTTGCTCGGTCACCCAAAAATGAAGGTCGAATGAAGGCTATCGCGATTCACCAACACCTTTGCAGCAGGCTACTGATGTACCCCATAGCGGACCCCATATCCGGGCAAGCCTGCAGGCCAATGCAACCCTGGAACGGCAGCTGTCCATGCAATCCATCCTCAAGCGCCGCCGGTCCAGAATGGCCGACCAATGTGTGTGGATGGGTGTGCTCGGTTGGTCCGATCTGTGGAGGGTGGTGGTATTTCCCTTTCTCCCTTTGAATAGGTACTCGGGATTGCCCATTGCCAATTGATTAGAGGCGTCTATTGAACTTCAACAATGGCGTAGGGGGAGGCGCGGTTGGCGCGGTCAAACATGTTGCAACAACACCGGGGACGGGCAGAAACGGCGAACGAAAGGACGACGAAGACGACGACGACGACGACGACACCACACGATGTCCGGCCCTCGGCGGTGAAGGCCGAAGGAACATGAGCATTTTGCCGACTGCTCCTTTGCGGTCTTGGCATGCGAGCGACGGAACCACTGCAGGCCGTGCGTCCCCATTCGATGAAAAACGTGTGCCTGGCACATAACGGTCGATAGGTAGTATGGACTGTGAAGATGCGGAGCTCTCCTTTTTATCACCGCAAGGGCCGGGCCGAGAGTCGGTCTTGTATCGATAGCCCGCCTGATAGATATGTGAGGTGAAGACGTTTGACAAAAGAATGAGTTCGGATATCGCGCCTTTGTGCTCTGAAGCTCTGAGCTCTCGGCTCAGCAGTGGGTGGGGGCTGCTATGCTAGCCAACAGTTGAACAGTGCCATCGCGGCTGGTTCCGAGAGGCCAGGCCAAAAGGTGATCGCCTGTGACAGCTCCTTCCCGACTGGGCTTGGGCTGAAGGACGGAAGGAAGTGTTCTGTTGTGTTGAGAGAAAAAAAAGAAGGTCGAGGACCGGACGATCAGCCACAAGGAGTTGCTGGTTGGGGTTGCTCAACATCAACATCGAATTCACGCTTGATCACGGGAGAGGGTCTCTGCATCCATCATGCAGTGCGGACGGACAGCCTGCAAATCTTCGTTCACAGAAGGAACAACACACCGCCTGCAACTTGTTCCTGACAGCAGACTTGATGTTGCATTTGAGCTTGTTGCCCTCTTTGCGGCTGCGTTGAACTCGCTGCATCTCACTCGGCCTCCAAGTCTCTTCAACAGATTGAATGGCCCATTGAGATACTCAGGTCTTCTTCAATTCGGAACGAATACGCCAAAGACATTGGAATAAAACAATTCCGAGAAAGCGGCGCAGGGCAGCCAGCTTTCGATCTGCTGTGGGGTCTTTCACAAGGAGAAGCCGGCAAGAAGAAAAAGAATGGAATTCAAATGGAAAGAGACAAGAAAAAGGAGAACAACGCAAGAGTTCCCAGGTCCCGACCAGAAGCTTATTGAGTGGGGCCCCAGCCGCGGCACGGCCTGCACGGGCATGGCGGCAGCAGCGAACGAACGGCTGTCCGGCCCGGGTGTCAGGATCAGTTGGATCAGGATTCAGGAACCAAAAGTGAGTTCGGCAACCGTCCGTCTTGTCGTCCATTGTCTTGTCTTCACACACAACTCGATATCTTTAGTCCAGAACTTTTCGTAAAAACCATGTGAAGATCTTGATGTTAGAACAGATTTGTTTGATTTTCTCGCTGCCCAATTCTGACCACCCCAAACCACCAAGCCAAACCCCAACCAACAAGGCCCCCCAACCCAACTCCCCAGGGGGCAAGTCGTCGATCGTCGCCGATTTCAAACATACAAACTTCCCACAAGTACACAAGTCACATCCCATAGCGAAATGGCGAAAATCTTACCGTGACTCCATTCCGGTAATCGAGTTTGGACCACTTTTCATTCAATCTTGCCATTCCAATTGATATTACCCATGGGGTTTTCAGACACAGAAAAAAGAAAATGAATGACGAGAGGGTTTTTGTTCTTGCATGAGTCGCTTCCCTGTCCAAAATCAAATCTTGGACGTGGGATGGGGACAAGGATTGATACTTGCTACGTACTGGGGGAGATGATCTCCCAGATTCCCTCATCACGATGACCTCGAAGATGACATATGAATTTACAGGTTCTCGCAAATCCGGCTTTCTCCAACCTCTTTGAGGTCATCTCATTTGCGCGCATTTTCATGTCTTATTGACGCTGAATCATCAAGCTCAGATATAACGCCATTTCCCCAGGGGTAACGCGTCTACCTAATCATGGATCATGACGGGACCGATTTGGTACCTGACATGACCTGGATTGCTGCTCGGCCAAACATTCATCCCTAGCATGACATTGACACATGTTCTTGGCTTGTCAGATCTATATGAGCCTCAGATATACAACTTCTAGAACAAAAACTCCGGCCCGAGTAGGCTGGTCTAATTTCTGCCACTGCACCACAAGAAAGGGCTTTTTATACCACATGCTTTATTCTTCATTCCCAATAATCAGGCGTGCCAGGGACGCCGAGGTTACCAAGCTCGACATAGAAACATTGAAACTTAGAACTTGCCTTTTGTATCACAATGGGCAGTCGGGCAACCAGAGTACCAAACATTCAATCAGTTTGATCATATGCCGTCCATAAGTCGTACAAAGTTCTAACGGCTACAATTAGCATGTACATTCCTTCAGCAGATTCAGGTCAGCAACTACCTATGTATAGCCAAGCGAGTCAAGGTACCTGACTGACAAAGATGTGTTGTGACTGATCTGATACAATGTGGTAAGAAAAGGAAAAAGAAGATAACCGCCGCGGTAAATATGCGTAAGCTCTTCTTCCCGTCCCGTCTCGGCTTCCATCCCGTATTAACGACTTCCGATCAGATATTCCCGACTTTACTTCCTTTTCAGTCGGCCCGCCTCGGCCTCTTCTTAGGTACTTTCACCTGGCGTCTTTGTTGAGATTTTATACATATATAAAAAGATCGCACAGATTATCTATCACTGCTCTCCAGATCGCTGCTGCTACATCATGCGTTCATCATACACACAGGAATCATGTTCCACGGCTCCAATATATACAACTCTACGTTCTGTCCAAGATGTCAGGAACAAAAAAAAAAAAAAAAAAAAAAGGTCGAGCCTACCTATTAGTAGCCTCAGACCAATATCTCGACAAGACATCATCTATCTATCTGTCTTGGGGTGCTTGAATGTCTTTTCACAGAAACAAACAAACTCAGCAAGAAAAGAAGAAAGAAAATGAGACTACTTCCAGATGCATATGTACTGTAGACACCAAGATGTCTGAAACAAAAAAGCAAAGTCGATCGAGCCCCGCGCCTCCTCACTCAGAGAAAGTAGTATATCCTCCCTCTATCTAGATGTCTTGGACTCTTCTTTAATGTCTCTTCTTCACAAAAACAAGCCACCAAGCCACCAAGACATGAACAAGAGCCACATACCAGCATACCAGGAAAAGAAGAAGAAGAAAATTGACACACTTCCAGATGCATATGTTGACGCCCTGATCCCAAGCTTGGCCAAGTATGTAAGCCACATACATGTCTCTTGCCATCATCATTCTTCTTTTGGAAATTGGGATCTCTACGGACGTATACAATCCAGCCCTGGTTTGTTTGTTAGTTTGGTACAAAAAAGCCACCGCTTTGCTGGATATAGGAAAGCGTTCGGCTTTTTAGCAGATGGGTGCTGTAGACTAATATCTTCAGTCTTTTGGATCTTAAAGGAGACGGAGAGAGGCATAAAAGAGGCTTCTGTGGCGTAATAAGCCCTGGTCATTGTCTGCCGCTTCAAACGAAGACTGGTTTTCTTTCTGAGGAGGCCGATGAGAACTCCAGTTCTCCCCTGTTCAACCCATGGCCGAAGAACCAAACTAACAAACAAACCAGCATTGTATTGTAGAGCTAGCTGAGGTGGGTGGAATGTTTCAATACGCCACGCCACGACCTTTTATAAGCGTCATATGTACCTCAATTATCGGAACTTGAAAGTAACATCTTTCAGAGTTAGACTGTAGAAGAGGTAAGATAGCTGTCATTTGTTTGAGCTCCGTCCGGGCTGATATTAGGCTCGCTCGTCACCATATATATATATATATATACCTACAGACTTGGGAAGGTAAACGACAGGACAGGCTGAATACCTTACATCATCATGGAGTAAGGATGGAATGGATACCATCGGCGTACAGTATCAAGAATTCTTCTGTACAGCTTGTAGACGTTTTCGTTCATTGCTTCGTTTAGAAGTTTAAGAAAGCGCGAGTACGTATGTTTTTGTGTTCACGAGACTTTTTGGGAGGTAGTTAAATCATGACAATGGAAGGTGAAATGAATGTTTTCCCTGATCCGTCCGTCGTAGAAGAAAGAATACAATTACACCAAAAAGAAACGGGGCCCGGACAGTAAGACAAGTAGCTAGCTGGCTATGCGCACAATGGTTTATACAAAAATTATTCCTTTTCCATCTCTTTTTGTCGTTTGTCATCTTGCACCATAAGAGTGGATGTTGTGGCCACCTACTCGCTCTTTCAGCATTCACTTTATTCCTTTCACTTTTTGTTTTCAATGTTTCTTCTTCATCTTGCTTTGTCATGCTGTTCCTTGGAAACCCCAGTTTTACTCTGACCCCAATACTGCAGAAACCGAATGACCTAAACCAACAGATAAAACCGGACAGGCAACGCAAGAGATTTAGAAGTGAGATAACCACCGCTTTTAACCAATACAATAACCACGTTCAGGTCAACCCATCCACTTTTTGTTCAACTCATTCCTCTTGATCTCCTATTCTTTCCTTTCTTGTTGTCTTACACTTGTTCCCATGCCAGAGTCCTACATCCAAAGCCATGCCCAGACAGCAACGCCAAAGAGCATCTCACGCTTCCAACCCTACCAGAACGACGATCCTGCGCTGACCGCGCCCGCGGCCTCAAGAGGGGCCCTCGTACTGCCGTTAGCAGCCAGAGCCGCCTTCTTGGCCGTCATGCGGCCATACACGAGCGCGACAGTGTTCTCGGCCGCCTCGAGCGTGGTCTTGTACCACTCGTCCAGCCGGGCCTTGTCGATGTAGGTCTTGAGCTTGGCATCCTCGGCCTTCATGGCGTCCATGAGCTTGTTGCGGAACGAGTCGTCCATACCGTCGAAGCGGCGGTCGAGACTGTCGGTGTAGACGCCGAGGGCATCGGAGGGCTTGATGCAAGGGCGGAAGGCGTCGTTTGAGTGTTCTGTGATGGCAAAAGTGGGTTAGCACTGTGTGGGAGATATGTCTTGGGAATGGGAATATGAAACTTACGCTCGTCAACAACAGCAAACAAGGTCCTGTAGAGTGCTGTCTCGCCGAGGACTTCCAGCTGATGCTGGTCATCCTTCAGGTTGGTAACGTTGACTTGCTTCCAGTCGTCACGGATGAGGCAGCGACGCCAAATGAGGCGCTCAGCATTGCTTCGCTCCTCACCCTTTAGGCCGTTTTTGGCGACCTTCAGGGCTAGGTAGAACTGGTCGCCGATGGCTTCGAAGTGCTTCGGGTCAAGGTATACTAGGGTAAGCAGGTCAATGAGGGTAAGTGGCTGGAGGGCCTCGTGCTTAAGCAGGCGCTCCATGCCGTCCTCAAAGACGCTTTGAAGTGCCTTTTGCTTCTTCTGGGCGTTGATCCACCCACCGTGGAACTTCATCGCCAGCTCAAACTCGGCTCTTTCGTCAACGGCTTCTTCAATGGTGGGTCGGATCTGACTGTAGAGGCCATTCTGGATCGTAATAATCTCAAGAGCCTGGTCAACCTTCTCAAGCTCGGCCGCCTTGCTATCGGAAAAGCCGTTGCTCATTTCACTGTCACCGTTGCGTTGATCGGCTTCCTCAGCCAGCAAAGCAAGCTTTCCAAGACTGAGCTCGATCTTCTTGCTCCACACTTGCTGCTCTCTGGTAAGACCGAGAGTGAGCAGTGTCTCGGCAGCACGAGCAATGTCGTTCTCCCTTTCAACGTCATTGATCCAAGAGATCTTGGCCAGTTCGGGCCTGGATCGGAGGAACTTGGTGGCATAGCCCTCCTTGTCGTAGGGGAACTCGAGGACTGCCTGAACGCCGCTAGCGTCAAGTAGAGCCTCGTACGCCGGGAAGGCGAACCTCTCCTGATACTGGTTGAAGTAGCCACCCATCTGCCTCTTCCGGTCCTCAGCCTTAGCACGACACTCCTCAGCCTTGGTAGCAGAAGTGCCGGGAGCTAGAGCACTCTCCTCCAGCGCGAGAATATGCTGCACCATGACATCTGCCAGCGCGGCATATGCCTCATGCTCCTGCGCCAGAGCAATGGCCTCATCCCAAAGATCGTAGTCCTTAAGTCGTAGGATCTTCTCGTAGACATTTTTGACGTAATCCTGAAGATACGTCTTGGCGATCTCTTGTGCGTGAGGATCACTAGACTTCTCAGCCCACGAAATAAACTCGTCAAGAGCGGTGAAGTATCGGCTGGTGAGAGCAGGAAGCATGTCCCGAATGCTCTTGAGGATTTTCACATCCACAGAAGCCTTTTCCGGAGAAGGGAAGTAGTAATTATCCAGCCATTCGTAACAGAACTCAATCAGGCGCTTGAGATTGTTAGTGATGAACTGAGTGGCAGTCCAGGGCTCAGGGATCGCGTTGCCTTCGGGGCCTTTCCTAGGATTGATACCATACAGGCGTGCATTCCTCAAGCGGTGCTGCTCCGCCTCCTGAAGGGCGCCCTTGTTGACGATGGCCGCTTCCAGTACCAGACGATTGATACCGTTCTCGTCGGTGAGACGTTCAGTATAGGCATATTTAATAATCTGGTATGCCCAAGCAATAAAGATCTCGAGCCTCCACACATCGTTAATGAACCAGTGGCGAACGGGGTCAACTTCACCGACAGCCGGATTGGGCTCCGTCTTTTGGTTCTCGTTGATGTACACCACCGTCTCGGAAATGAGGTTTTGTTTATCCCCCTTTGGCCTTTCGGCGATAAACTGCTCATTCTTCCGCCAAAGCCACGTTGCTACGGCCATCTTTTCAGAGTCGTAGAGCAGCATCCACCGAGTACGAGCGTCCAGATCCACCTTCAAGGTGTTGAGGTGGGATATTAACCTTTCGAGATATTCCACCCTGGTCCTCATGTTATTTTCGAGCGAGGCGGGCACGTTGGGGATGAACGGGGTCTTGGAGGCTACGATCTCATGACTGAGCTCAATAGCGGCATTTCCGATTTCCGGAGCGGTGAAAGGCAGGCTTCTTCCTTGGAACACCAGCGGGTTGTCGCTCTTGATACCAAAGAAGACGGCCTGTTCGAGCTTGCTCTTCGCGCTGATGGTTGGCGGCTTTTCAGTCGCGAACCGATCAACCTCGCTAACGGCAACTCTAACTGTGCCAACACCCTGCACCAACAACACAGCTGCAGGATTTTTTATCCTGTGTCGCAGTCGAAGCTCATCTTGGGAGTGACCGCTGGTAGTAGGCTCCTCTGTACCCGAGCCTACTATTTGCACATTGCCCTCATCTCGTAGGTCTACCACGTCTTCGAATGTGGCGGGTATGATGTGACTGTCCTCTTGGAGTTGTGACTCGGGGGAATCCGGTGGGGCGGCCATGGACGCAATCACAACGGCGCGGTCGAAGACGACAAAAGCCACCATTGCAGGGCGTGGAAGGTAAAGTTTGGGCCTCTCGGGCGCATTGGGTCTCACAGGACTGGTGTAAGAAGTCAAGGGTCGAACTGCACCAACCTTCTTGTTCTGGCCAGAAATGACAACCTCGACCAAGGCATAGTGAGACTGGCTTTTGCTGGAAGAAAAGGAAGTGAGTAGTAGCAAATGCTGAACAGAATCTTCGTCATGAACCAGAGCCTCGCTGAGTCGGCTAGCCTCCACATACTTCTTGTCGAGTCCTCGAGGAACGCAGGTAAAGTCGACAATCTCGAAGGACTCCTCAGGTAAGCCAGCGGATGCTGGGTCAGCCTCCTGTATTTGGCGAATAAGCTCGCTCTGCAAGTCGATATCGGAGAGGATCTCGTGGTGGCCGCCCCTGTGAATGCGCCAAGCGTTGAGCTTACCCTTAGTCGTAGCTGCAACAATGACGCGCTCTCCTACTCTTGTGGCATGGCTGGCGCGGACGGCAACGACATCTCCATGCGACGAAGTGGAACCGAGGACCTGGCGAATACTTCCCAGCAATCCACCTGTGGCATTGGTGAGGCTGCTACGAAGGAACTGTACGGAAATGGCAGGCCGGCCATGCATGTCGCGAACGCTCAGGTAAGCAAGACGGCCAGAGCTGAAGACGAGGACGAAACCGGCGGATTCGGCATTGACGATCTGAACGACATGCTCTCCAGAGAACATGCCAGGTATTGTGTCCTCCACTCCGTGTCGTTGTTGGCGAATGAAGTCAAGGGTGGCGGCGCTCGAGATGGATTCCCAGTAGGCGATCTTGCCGCTCATGGGCATGACAACGACAAGGCCAGGTTCATCGGATGCAGCCGAGGGCGAAACCAAGGAGCCGAGTGGTAGCGGGTCGGTCGGGTTCTTGGAGGGATAAGGAAGGCCGAATGTAAAGGTCTCGGGCGAGGCGGCGGTAGAAGCATAGGGCCAGACGAAGGCATGGGTATGGGTAAGGCTCAAGGCGTATCCGCTGGTCGAGTAGACGGCACCGTGCTGACGATCTTGGGAATTGTTAGGTACTCCAGGCTTTATTGAGAGTTGCTCCAAAGGTGGAAGGGCGTTTGGGAGGTAGCTGTGCTGGGCGATCTTACTTTGCGCATCCGCTCGGAGTCTGTCGGGTAAAGCTGGGAGCTTGCTCACGGTATAAGCATTGTTTGTAGTCTGGGATTGTGGTCAGTAGCTAAGCTTCCAGGAGCTGTTTGTGACTATAGATGAGCTCCCACAATGCGCAGTGACGCGAGACAAAGCCGGGAAAGGACGCATCGACATACCAATACTATGCTTCCATCACCCTTCGCGGTCCGTTCACCGGCCTTTTGCTTCTTTGATCGCACACTGAGCTCTTTGCGAGGACCACCGAGGTTTTCAATGCCGTCGCGCTTGATGTCGAGCAGGGCAAGCTTGTCGGACTTGACTTCGTACATGTCCGTATCCGTCTCTGGGAGGGCCTCGGTATTCGCAACTGTGGTTTCGTGTAGAGGCACCCTTTGTCGCTTTGCCTTGGGGGCCTGGACTGTGGCATCTGTGTTCGAGGAGGGGCGCGCTCTGCGGCGGCTGCTTCGTGTCCCCTTTGCGGGGCCGCCTTGATCTTGTTGGTTTGGCTCAAACATGTTGGTGTTGGTGCTGGTGCGTGACCGTGAGTCGCGGTGGTGGTTGTTGTGGTGGTGGTGGTAGAAGAATGCGGACGGCTAGCTAGAAATCGCCAAAGCGAAGAAAAGAAGCGATGGATCTAGATGCTGGAAAAGTCGATGAGTTCGATCGGTGGTCGTGACGGGTGACGTGAATAACAAGGCGCGCGCGCGTGCTCCCTTCGATTCGAATCTCGGCCTTTCTCTCTTATTTTATCCTTTGATCATGGCAAGGCGCGGTGCACCTGAATACCACAAAAGGGAGGTGATGGATATTGGAATGTCGAATTTGTGACGGAAACACGGCGGCGTCGAGAAAGGATGATGGATGCGCCGTTATCGATTAGGTATACCCAAGTCGTGGAAGATGGAGAGGTCGCGATTGGGAATGTTGTACCAGTAAAAGGGCAGAACTTGAGTATGTCGCTACTGTCTAGATGTCAAGTGAATGGGGAAAGGCGGGCAATTCCCTTCTTCATGACGAAGCCTTCAATCATTGGATCCTTGTTGACTTTTGGGCAACAAAAAATCACAGGCCTCCGGAGGTCAGTCGCTGCTTGCTGGTGCTGGTCCATCGTGGTCACTGAGTGGTCAGTCTTGGCGTGTTGCTGGCTTTGTTGGTCAGTGCTTCAACACCCTGGAGATCTCCACACACGACCACGAAGTGCTGGCTGCCAGGAGGTACGTACCTTTTTCTTTCCCTTTGTCCTTTCCTGGTCCTTCAGCTCTTTCACCTCGTCCTCCTAAAACTGCCTCTAACAAACCCTAACACTAACATGCGTTTGGTGTCCAAGTTCGACCAGGTTCTTGGACATATCTCTCTTTCTTCACCCCTTTGTGAGGCCGGTTTCCTTACCTTTTACTTGTCTCTTTACCGTGGACTCTCCATCTTCGAGTCATCAAACAATAAAATGATAGCTCTAGGTACAAGTGGACACCCATAGAGAGCTCTTGAGGAGCTGGACTGAGTTGACATCTGTTAATGACATTGGTGCTGTTTGAGAGTGACATCATTGGGGCTGTTAAGTTTCATCCCCTGAATCCACTGTTAACCTTAACAGTCACACGGACATCTTCGGCTTCTCTGTATCAGATCTCAACTCCATACAAACAAAAGCTCTATGTGCGGTTAAAGGACTACACTCCTTCTCAAGAGTACCAGTCAAGACTCCAGCAGATCACAAAGGCCTTGGACTCGGCAAGGAAGGAGGATGTTGAGGACGAAGAGACCCAGCTGGCCGTCCGCAGCCACCCCATCAGGAGGAACCCTCTCTTTGCCAAGTTCTTCAGCAAACCAGAGGACAGAGACACTTTGGCATTGACTAGAGTTCTTACAAGCCACCAAGCTGCTCTGCACATTGACTCTCCCAAGGGTCTTTTCCTCTCAGGCGAGGTTGGCACCGGCAAGTCTATGCTGCTAGATCTCCTAGCCGAGGGCTTACCCACTCACCGAAAGAAGAGATGGCACTTCAACACCTTCATGTTGTACGCCCTCTCCAGGCTGGAGCAGTTCCGAAAGTCGCGTTCCCAGTTGTCTATGGGTGATCAGGAGTATTCCCTCCTGTGGTTGGCAAAAGAGATGGTGGAGAAGTCTCCCATTCTCTTCCTCGACGAGTTCCAGCTTCCCGATAGAGCTGCGAGCAAGATCATGAATAACTTATTTATCGCCTTCTTTCAGCTGGGAGGTGTCCTCATTGCATCATCTAACCGGATGCCCGAGGAGTTGGAAAAGGCCACAGGCGGGTATTACCACCCGCCCACAACCGGTGGTCTGATCAAGCAGGTCTTTGGCTTTGGAAAGCGCCAGGGAGAGTTGTTCGGCCAGACCAGTGACTTTGCTGCGTTCCTGGAGGTTCTCAAAGCACGATGCGACTTCTGGCACATGGAAGGTGCCCGAGACTGGAGGAGAAGGGAGAGCCAGCAGATTGGCGTTACAGGTAAAAGCGTGGACAAGGTGACGACGGCTTCAGGGGCGGCCTCCTTTCAACCCGTGTTTGGGTTATCATCATCCACAGAGCCACAAAAAACAACTACTTCAGAGGAGACCATCACCGAACAGGGTCTTCAAAAACCATCCATGTACTTTCTCCCCTCCGACCCCGAAGAAACCTGGACAGCCGCCGTCAACCAACTCGTCGGCTCAAATAGCACCGGCCAACAGTGGACCCCAACCAGCCTCATCGTCTACGGCCGCAAGGTGCACGTCCCGCGCCACCACAACGATGTCACCTACTGGGACTTCTCCGAGCTGGTCTCCTCCCACGGCCCAGCCGACTACCTCACCATGGCCTCGACCTTCCACACCTTCATCATCGACCAGGTCCCCGTTTTGTCTCTGGCCATGAAGAACGAAGCCCGCCGCTTCATCACCCTCCTCGACGCCCTGTACGAGTCCAAGTGCAAGCTCCTCATCCGCGCCGAGGCCGGGCCTGATGATCTCTTCTTTCCCGAGATGCGTCCAGCCAAACCAGTCACCACATCAACAACAACAACAACAACAACAACAACAACAACAACAACAACAACAACAACAACAACAACAACAACAACAACAACAACAACAACAACAACAACAACAAGCACGGGCAATGGAACCGAGCAGGTAGCAGGAGTAGTAGAAGGAGACGCAACCTACTCCGAAACCATAGCCGAAGTCTTCCAAGACTCGATCGCGCCTTTTCGTCCGAACATCTCCGAATACGACCCGGACCAAGACTCGGATTTCGGCAAAGAGCAGCAAGTGTCCCTGACGCGCAAAGTGGACTTCAACCAGACCGTTTCGGCGTTCACGGGGCAGGACGAGCGGTTTGCGTACAAGAGAGCGACGAGCCGGTTGTGGCAGCTGTGCAGCAGGCAGTGGCATGCTAGGACGGATGAGGGTTGGTGGCAGCCGCTGCCGAAGGAGGCGAGGCATTGGGAGGGCAAGGAGGTTAGTAAGCCGTTGGAATCACCGTTGGTGAGGTTGAGGATGGGGCCTTCTGAGAAGGATAAGACGGAGATTGTCATGGGGGAGTCGACGGTGCTGGAGGAGCCGGTGGGGTTGGAGAGGTTTAGGGTTAGGGAGATGAAGGAGGGGAGCAGGCGGTGATGGGGATGAGGTTGGATGTTGGGTTGTATATAGATGTTTTGGAAATGATTACATGTTCTCACGAGTGCTTCGGGCAGACCTTGACTCAAGTCTTCCGTGATATACTTCCAGGGATACGAACCAAGTTCCTGATCAAGGCGGGTTTAAGGCTCAAAAGCCATTACCAACGTCGTGCTATAGACGGAAGCTAATTAGCGACCATCAAGCGGGGAAGCATCTTGCTTTCTTCTTTGGTTTCCCGAACACATTTACACAAGCCCCTAGACCTAGACCTAGACAGCCGTCAAAGCAGCAGCAAGCTGCTCTCCCCTCTCACCACCCAGATACACATCCTCCGGCCCGTCCGCGCTCACCAACGCCAGCTCCACGGCCTCATTATACCCCTTCGTGACCATATCCTCATCCACCCTCAATCCATTCTCCACCAGCGCCGTCACCACGCCCCTAATCCTCGCAATCTCCCTCATCGTCTCCGGCTCGATCCTATCATTCTGGCTCGAATACATCGTGGCACTAACCACCTCCTCGAGGTTCGTAATGCCCGTCTGACCCTTGGCCTCCTCGGGAACCACCGGCTCCACATGCTTCGAGATCCAAACATAGCCATTAACCCCCAAAATCACATCAATCGGGCCGCCATTATTCGCCGCCTCAAGCGTCCACACCTGCCTACGGGACCGCACAACCCCGCCGCCGCCACCGGTACCGGAAACAGCCATAAACACGCCGTTCCTCAGCTTGCCGTACTTGAGCGAGCGCGTGTGCAGCACCGCCCCGCCGTCCTGGAACAGCTGCTGCACCTCGGCAACCACGAGATCACCTTCGGCAAAGAAAGTGCGGATCTGCAGCTCGTCCGTCTCCGTTCTTTTGCGGAGGATACCGCCGGGCAAGTTGATCGCCGACAAGGGCAAAGCAGCAAGTTGCGTGGACCCGACGTCCACCCGCCACCGTTTTGCCTGGACTTCGACGATGCGGCCGACTACCAGGTCGCCTACCTCGGGCGTGTAGCGGGCGCGCAGGGGGCGGACGGACAAAAGCTTGTTGGTGCGCGTCACGATGCCCGCCAGGGAGGAGGTGATGGCTTGTTCTCCCAAAGAGGCCGAGGAGAGGTAGGTGCCGTGGCCGCGCATCCATTGCGGGTCCGTGGTGATGCGCTCGCCGGGGGTGACGATGGCGGAGCGCGGGACCGAGCTGGTCACGTTGGTCTTGGGGCGCTTGGTGAAGGTAGAGGAGGCCGCGGCGGCGGAGCGGCGCTTGCGCGGGTGGATGGTCACGCCGCCGTCGAGGGAGACGCCACCGGGCTGGGAGTCGGAATCTTCAGAGTCGGAGGTGGCGTCGGACATTACGTCGTCGGAGTCATGGTTGAGGTTGCGGCGGGGTGGTTGGTCCCGGAAGGCCTTGGGTGGGAGGATTGTGATGGGCATGACGTGTGGTTGTGGTTGGTTGTGTGGTTGTTGAAGGTTGAACAGTCTGTGGTGAGACCGTGAAATAGCGATATCAATCTCGAGTGTTGGTGAGATGAGAGTCGAAATTTGGGTGAGGTCGGAGGGGGAACAAGTTTTCCTTCCGTCCTGGTTCCGTTGTCGAACTTTTCCAAATCCCAAGATTTCCCAAGTACCCTGACCTGCAGCAGTTCGTTGTTTGTGTTAATTCCTCTTCTGGCCACAGAAGTGTGTTGTTTGGACCTTTGAGTCGATCTGGAGTTGAACGACTTGACGTCCAAATGTTTGTGTATTGAAATTCTGATATTGAAATCGATACGGTATTGATGATGAACTTTACACAGCTGGTGGAGCCTCGTGCCCTGTCGTTCGTGGTGTGCACGGGCAGATAGGTACATACAGTGCAGGTACCACGAAAGTACGTACCTCCACCGCCGCACCGCGTCCTTCTTACCCGGCAGCTGGGTGGATCTGGGCTTTTGCCCAACTGCAAAAGCCAAAAGTAGCCGCACCAGTGTTAGGCGACGTCACACGGTTCGTCTTTCGGAACTGCTGCAGTGACAAGGTCCCATCCCATCGTTGAAATGCCTGCCCCAGGGCAATTGAGTCCAGTGACGGACTGACGGTGCAGTGCCCGCCCAGATCCGACGGATTTACCCCACCCGTCTTCTCCACACAAAGACCCCGGACAACGGGCCAGCCGGGCGTTGGGATGGCCCACTCCCGCCGGCCGCGGCTGTCGATTTCCAGGGCGGTTTGTTGATGAGTATCCGTACCTGCTTACTCAAGCTTCCACTTGCAGGAGACAGCCGTCCCTACTTGCCCGGGCGTCCCTACCGTTGCTACCGTCGAAAGCCGATCATTCCGTGTTCTTCCACCAGTTGCTGGCATCCCTTTAAACGTAGTCCCGTCCTTCTCTTTGATTTGCTCCCATTGTTTACTTGTTCCGGGTTTGCGCCATCAAACATACCTGACTTGTTTGGCAAACAAAAAACACCAATTCGAGATTTACATAAACATCCCCGACTTCGGATTCCACCAGACTACGACATAGCCGTGTACTACTTGACTTGGCGCCGAACGGACATCGACTATCGGGAACCATAGCGGTGGATCAAGACAAGACTATTAGTGAAACCAGACCGAGGTTCCGGTAGCGACGCACGACACACGCGGTAGACGGACGGACGGACGGACGGCCGGCCTGGGACGGGGACAAATCGAGGTTTCCAGGTCCACATACACCGATATGCCTTTGCGCGGGCCCCTTCGTAGGCCTGCGCTTGCGCTTCCTCCTTCTGCGCTTCTCTCCTCCAACAATGCCATCACAAAAACACCCCTTAGAATATCACCATTACCACGCTCGGTAGTGGTACGGCAGCGTAGAGGACATGCGACACATTTGCCGGTACCAGACACACGGCCAAAGACGGCCATCTTCTTTCCAGGTTCGTAGTGGTCGCCGGCTCTCCCGCCTTCACATGCTCAAGTTGCGAACGACAATGCTAACAGCCATACGATATACAGGCCAAGGCGTCCAAAGAGTCGGCATGCTCACCCCCTGGCTAGAAGCCTTTCCCTCGACAACTTCCGAAATCATCGACGAAATCGACTCGGTAGTGGGCTACAAGCTCTCGGACGTGATACAAAATGGGCCCGGCAAGGACCTCAACCTGTCGCCCAACGCACAACCAGCCATCATGGCCACCTCGATAATGATCATCCGCATCCTCGAAAAGCACTTCAACTTTAGAGTCGAAGACAACGCCCACTTTACTCTCGGTCACTCTCTTGGCGAATTCGCTGCGCTTGTCGCAGGCGGCTATATCCATTTCCAAGATAGTCTGCGTATGGTGCACAAGCGAGCGGAAGCCTTTTCCAATGCCACCCGGCAGGCCGAGGAGATGTACGGCGGAGAGTACGGCATGGTAGCACTCGTCAGTAGCAAGGCCGAGCACCTGCCACCTTTATGTGCCGCAATCCGCGAGTTTGTCGGCTACGACAGCGCCGGCCCGAAAGTCGAGAGCGCCGACGACTGGAGCCCAATCGACCAGGTGCTTATTGCCAACGTCAACAGCAAGACCCAAATTGTGCTTAGCGGAAGCATTGAGCGCATCAAGACACTAGTGGCCCATGTGCGTCAGTTCCTGGGACACGACCCACGCGCGGTCAGGCTCAAGAGCGACAGCCCGTTTCACAGTCCCATCATGAAGCCGGCCGTCGGGGTGCTGCAGCAGATGATGGCGGGAAACAGCATGGTCAAGGGAAGGGAGAATGAGGATATTGTCACGTTTCCCGGCAAGGTTACGTGCATTAGCAATGTGACGGCCAGGCCCTTTGAAAGTAGGGAGCAGCTAAAGGACCTTCTGGCTCGGCAGGCGGTCGAGACGGTACAGTGGTGGGACAGCATCAAGTATCTGGATCAGTCCATGAAGGTCAGGAGATGGGTCGGTATCGGGCCGGGGTACGTGGGCCGGAACTTGGTGGGTAAGGAGGTTGGCATGCGCGGGAAGGATGTCATTAAGGGCGCCGGTGTCTGGGCAATTACCGATCCGAAGGAGATTGAGGAGGTACTCAGGGGGCTAGAGGAGACGGACTTTTACGAGGACGACGAGTGGCAAGATGCATGGGATAGGTGGGACTGAGCAAGTGAAGTTGTGTGTCCAGGCATTTTCAGCGTTGGGCATTTATGGAAAAGGGCTGTCATTTTGGAAAACCTGGGAAAATCATCGTCACCCTTTTTTTCGAGCATCGGCGTAGCTTTGGGTTGGATACGGGGAAGTTAAAGGAGTGTTTGGCCAGCGGGGGAGGAGAGGAGCACTGCGCCCGGCGTTGTGGATAGGTTTACCGTTTCTTCGGGCAGACACTGGAAGCTGTATATTGTATCTGTTGTCATAGCCAACTAGAACGAATCATTGGGGAAAATGAAAGGTTCTCGCATCTACCGGTACCTTACTGAGTTGTGTGTTTTGATGGAAGCATACTGTGAGGTTGAAAAGGGGCATCAACATGATCATTCACACCCACTGTAGACGCGGGAAATAGGGGTCCACAGGTCACTAAACAATGGTTACCCAAGCTACCCCAGACCCACTTGCTGCAGCTCCATGGATCAGCTTCCCGCGTCACCACGGCGGCCCGCGTTCTGTCATCGTTCAACTGAACAACATCCAAACTGTCGCAAATCAAGCAGGGCACTCGACATCACTCAGTCTTCGCAACCAAACCTCTTAACCGGAAAATCCGCATCACCGCCTCAACATACTGCGATAATACCAAATCAAGCCCGAGTACAGGACCACCTCCTTGAAGAATGGCGACCCTAATCCCCTCAATAGCCTGTCTAGGCGTAATAGGCCGTAACGTAAAGCTCCCCTATCCCCCTCCTTTCCCTTCCTTACTCATTCCTTTCCCTCCCTCCCATCCATCCAGTTTTGCTAACCCACCCCCTTCTCTCACTGAAACAGAACAACCCCCTCCACATCCAAATCTTCCCCTCCTACGACCCCTCCACCAACACCTACACTCCGGCCCGCACCTCCCTCCAATTCCACCTCCTGCTCTCTTCGACTCTTGACGTCTTCGAGTTGCGCGCGCGCCGCAACGCCGCGGCCGGCGTGGGCTTGTCCGGTGACTTTGGCCTGTTGCATGCGGTGGACGACCGCCTGGCGGCGTACGGGTTCGAGACGAATACGGGGACCAAGTTTGTTGCGGTTGTGGATATGAGGGGACGAAGGGTTGATGGGAGAGGTGGGGGAGGAGGAGGGGCGGGTGGGCATGGGGTAGGGGGACAGCAAGGTGGTGGAGGGTTGGGGGTTTTGGGGCAGAGTGGCGCGGCGGCTGCGGCTAGTAGTGTTGGATTGAGGGAGGGGGAGATGAAAGTTGTGAGTACTTCCTCGGCTATTCCTGGAGGGGGGGATCTTGACGGTGTGGGATAAGGGGCAAGAAGTGGAGAAAGAAGGACGGACACATATGCTGACATGGGGGACAGGTCTTCAAGGCGATGCAGACGGCGTACATCAAGCTGTTGCAGAACCCGTTCTTCGATCCGGACGAGCATTCGCCGCTTACGGGGACAGGCGGAAAGAGAATCACGAGCAAGAAGTTTGCAGAGGATATGAGGAGGATAGGGGAGAACTGGGGACCGGGCGTGACGGTTCTTTGAAGGGGTTACTCTTATCGAGAAGTCCTGAAGCGGGACCTCTTTGGTTTAGCATATGGGTCAATGGGCGAGAGCGCTAAGTTGGCGTTTCTGGAGTTTGGAGGCTTTATTTTTACGGGAAAGCGGGTTGTTTTTCTTCCTCGGTGGTATATTCTAGAGGGACGGTGAGGGGACTCACGGGTGTAGTGCTCCAGACGTGAGCATACAACTACTGGTCAAACGACTACTTGAGAGGCCCTTACGATTGACACACCGAAACAAGACAAATAATTAATACAGCTATATCAGCAATCATTTCTTCATGAAGGAAGCTCTCCAACCCGATATCCACACTACACAAAATAAAAATATCAAACATGACGCCTTCCAAACCGAGCACAACTCAATCCCACCCGTTACTCAACACAAACTCCTCATACGGCACCCCCAACTCCTCAAACTCGCCCTTCTCCGGCCTCGCCATCTTCGCCCACCCTCTCACCAGCTCTCTCCAATAACACGCCTCCGCCGCCGGACTAAAGTACCCCCCACCCACAAACAACTCTCTCTGCCTCCTGGCAATCCCCTCGGCAACTTTGGGATGCTCCTCCAACCAATGTATCGTATCCTCCAAATCCGACCAATCGGGGCTTACAAACACGATATTCGCCTCATTGGGATCATACCGCTTCGGCCACGCCCTCTCATGTCTCACGTGCGGCGTCCATGGCACCACCCCATCTTTTGCGGCTGCTCCGGGTTTTTTAGCCCTGGTATCTTTCGTCTTCCCATTTTTTCTCATACGCAACGACCTGGCCTTGTCCAAGTCCAGATCGCTCGAGAATAAGGGTTTGACCAAATGCGTGGTATGCTGCATCCACTGGATCGGCGGCGTGAGCGTTACCGAGGCGCACATCTGGAGGAACTGGAACCGACCCGAGTAGGAAATGCCTTCGGTGTGCAGCACGTATTTGTACTTGCAAAAGTCCTCGATCGCCAATGCATTAGTGGCGTTTTTATTGTCACCCCCGCCGCCCGTCCACTCGAGCGATTGCACATCCGCCCACGGCTTGTTTTTGGCGGTGGAAACAAGCTTGTACCGCAGCTGCGGGTTGTGGATCGAGTTGAACCAAGTAGTTCCGCGCCAGACGGCGCGCGGGTCTTTGTGGCTGTGCCAGCGGTTTCCTTCTTGAAATTGGGTTTCTTCGAGTTGAGTGATGGCGGAGGCGGCGCGAGAGATAGAGCCGATGAAGGGGAGGTCCCATGCCCAGAAGGAGAAGTGAGGAATCAAAAAAGTGCGGGCGTCGCGGTCCGAGGGGGCGTGCACGGGGTCGGCGTTGCGGGTGTATTGCAGGGCGGTTCCGAAGGGGGTGTCGAGGATGTTGAGGGTTAGGATTGTGTCGAACTCTTCTTCGAGATGATGTGTACGGTCGGAGGAAGGGGGCGGCAAGGTGAGCAGGGCGCGGTGGAGCTGGTGGAGGGCTGCTGTTCTTGACTTTTTTTTTTCGTGTGTGTCAGTGTCAGTCAGTCAGTGTCAAAGGGCGGGAACGGAACGGAAGAAGAAAAAGGAAAAGGAAAGAAAACAAAACATACATTAACCATCTCCCTACTCAAATCCCTCTTCCGCTGCGCATGCAACACATAAATCCTCCCCTCCCGGATCCGCACCTGCATCGGTCCCAAATCACTGCTCCTCTTGACCTTGAACGGCCCTTTCGCTACCGTATCATCAATCTCCTTCATCAGTCCCGGAAACGTAGCCCGACATGTCTCGCCGTCCAGAGACAAGTTGTTCAGTAGTATCTCGTCAGTCAGCTTTCGCCGCACGCTTCCTCCTCCCCGAGGCGAGGAGGACTTGGTGCGAGAAGAGGAGGCGATGGCTTCGTAGTCTACTACTTCTTCTTCTTCTCCTAAATCTGAAGGGTTAAAATTGCCGCCGCCTTCTTTTTTGCTGCTACCCGACGAGAAAGAGTAGAAGAAGGGAGAAACGGTAGAGGAACCACCATGATGGAAGAAGAAGTAATGGAACAGTGACCAAAGCGTCAGACAAGAAAAAAAGAGGATGGAGGCGAGTTTGAAAAGACGTCGACGTTGGCGGTATTTTTTGAGATTGGTGATGCCGTTCATGTCTCGCATATCTCTCCGGAGGTTGTCTCGAAGGTTTAGGGATTTTGTTGAGAGGGAAGAAGAGGGTATGATGGGTACTATGGAGAAGCGGGAGTGGTGGTGATGGTGGTGGCTGTAGGCATGGCTTTCGTTATGGTTGCTTGGTTTAGGACTTTGGCCTCCTTCACTTGGGCTGTGGTGGCTTTGGCTTAAAGGGCTGTGGTTGTAAGCTTGGGAGGAGGAGTAAGAGGGAGGAGTGTATTGGCTGGCCATTCTGCTGTTGGTGCTGGTGCTGGTTCTCGATATAGGAGGAGGGGGAGCACGGCGTGAGGTAGACATTGATGTTGGTGAGGTTAAGGGTGAGGTACCCGAAGGTTTCGTTATGGGGGCATGTGGGACGAGGAGGTGAGACGGAGGTAAAGTAGAAGAAGGTTGGATGGAGGTTTGGCTGGGTTTTTTTTTTGAGAGTATATATATATATATATATATAAAGCATCTGATGAATGTTGTCTTGGACAATTACATGTGGTCTTCCACTGCCACTTCCGGTAACGCATGGAGGGGTGGCATACTGCCGTGGATAAAAACCCGGAGGATAAATGTCCGGGTTACTCTTCGGGGGAATGTTCCGCGCGCGGTGGTGTATGCCGACAACCCTGATGAGGATTTGACCACTTCCTTCCGGTAAAACATAGATCATGAGTTAATCTATTTGAACTCGACCTAGAAGCCGAGGTATAAACAAAGTTGAAGCGTGCTCGAGTAGCTTACAGTTGTCCGACTTGTAAGTGTATAGTTAAAGGTAACGGGTTGAAAGCTGCTCTGGTTTTAAAGAAGGATAAGTATGGCTTCATGATGTAGACCGTCAAAGGAGACATAGACTGGTCGCTTTGGAAAAACTGGGTATATAAGCTGCTCTTCCTAAATGTGCAAGCTCAAGGGGTGATACACCGTACATATTAAGTCTTTGAACGTATCCAAACCGTGCCATTACTTCTTCGACATTATCTGCTTCCGCCCATTATCGACCCCTCCTAATCATATAATATCGTCCCCCCTTAAATCGACCATGTCACTGCTGTTGTTGAACTCCTGACTGGAACAGGCAATCAAGAAGACGTCGACTCGTTATCTATTCATAAAGCGCATTAGATACATAAACCAAAAGAAAGCATCAAAAACACTTGGAAACAGACGGAGTGAGTTGCCGCGATCACACAAACAACTCAACGCCTCCTCGCCTTCACATAAACAGACAGATAATAGCCAGCCACAACGACCAGCCACCTTTTCAACGCACCTTTAACACCGCCACCATCGGTACCCAAGCCCAAGAAGAACCACATCCAGTATCCGGACCCTTTAGCGACGGTCCCCTGGCGGTCAAAGTTGGGCTTCTTGTTGGTCCAGCGCTGCAGGAACCTGAGCTCGCTCCAGTCGTACGGCATGTAGCGCACGCGCAGGAGCTTGTCCATCCAGTTCGGGGTCTCGGACACGGTGCGGAAGTGCGTGAAGTTGTCGAAGCTGGCTTTGCCGCGATAGGCGCCCCAGCCGGAGTCGCCAACGCCGCCGAAGGGGACCGTGTGCACGGCGCCGTGGAAGTAGGCGTCGTTAATGCAGGCGCCGCCAGAGGTCATTTCGTCGAGGACTGTGGGTGGTTGGGTAGCTTGTTAGTATAAAAGATTTCAATAACATGAAAGGGGAAGGGAGAAAAAAAAACATACTCTTTGTAGTCTCCGCCTTGTCACCAAACGCCATCAGCGCCAACGGCGTCCGGTGCACGGCATTGGCAATGTTGAGCGCCTGGTCGAGGTTGTCCACAGGGTAAACGCTGAAGATGGGACCGAAGCTCTCCTCCTGCATCATCGGATCATCGAGGCTATCCACCAACACCGCCGTCGGCTCGATGAACAGCTCGCTCTCGTCCATCTGGCCGCCCATGACAATCTTGCCCTTGGTCTCGTCCAACATCTTCTTGATCCTGTTGAAGTGCCTCGCGTTGACAATGCGCGACAGATCCGGGCTGGCCTTTGCTCCGTTGGGGAACATTTCCTTGTACGAGATCTTGAGGAACTCGATGAAAGTGTCGGCCACGTCCTTGTCGACGAGCACGTAGTTATGGCTCATGCACACCTGTCCGGCGTTCAAGCACTTGCCCCACATCAGCCGGCGGGCCGCGAGCGCCAGGTTGGCCTTCTTGGTCACAAAGGCCGGGTTCCTGCCGCCCAGCTCGAGGCACACGGGCGTCAGCGTCTCGGCGGCCTTGCGGGCGATGATGGAGCCGACCTGGGCGCTGCCGGTAAACATGATCTTGTCCCACTTCTCGTCCATGAGCGCGTTGGTCTCGGGGACGGCGCCGTTGACGACGGCGAATGCGTTGCGGTCCAGCCGGCTCTCGATCATTTCCTTCATGACCATGGCGCACGCGGGTGTCAGCTCGGACGGCTTGATAACGGCCGTGCAGCCGGCGCCGATGGCGCCCACGAGCGGGGCCAGCACCAGCTGGACGGGGAAGTTGTAAGGGCCGATGATGAGGACGGTTCCCAAAGGCTCCTTCTTGACGCGGAAGTTCATCATCGAGTAGGTGACGGGCACGTCCTTGAGCTTCTCGGTCTTGGCGAAGGTCTCGAGGTTGTTGATCATGTGCAAGCAGTCGTTCTTGACCCAGTCGACCTCGGTGAAGTCCGACTCATATCCGCCCTTGTGCAGGTCCTGCTGGAGCGCGGCCAGCAGCGAGGGCTTGAAGTCATCGAGGGCCCAGTAGAGCTTGCGCAGCTGGACGAGACGCCATTGCAGGTCCTTGGTCTTGTGGGAGGCGAAGGTGGCGCGGGCGGTGCTGGAGACGGCGGGAATGATGTCGAGGGGAGTGACCTCGAAGGGGGCTATTAGTACTTTGGATGCGGCCATCTTGACTGTTGTGTTGTGTGGTGTGTGGTTGATGGTTGGGTGAGAAGATGATGAGTTGGGATGATTAAATCCAGGAACAACACAACAAGGAAGCAGGGTTGGACCGGGAAGAGGTGAGACGAATAGACGAAGAAACGGCGGTGATGCACCGGTTGTACCCGTGGAGAAGAGTGGGGATGGGTCAGTGTATCTCCACGGGTAATGATATAAAGACCGGAGGACCCTTAGGACGAAAGGATAAAGATGATGAAGAGAGGGTGAGACCTCGATCCCCACAAAATAAAGGAAACGACAAGTCGGTACGCCTCACGGGGTCTTATCGCTGCAAGTTTTAGGTAGACCAAGGTAGCTGATAAAGAAATTGTTACTGTTACGACCTCACAATTGGTTCGACCCCTGTAGACGCTAAAATAGATATTTGATCGGCCAAAGAGATTTTGATGAGACGCTGACAATTGAACAAGAACAACGAAGAACGAGTTCCTCAATAATCACTGGATGGCATGAAGCGGTAACGTGTCCGCGATAACACTACACGTGTATAAGACCGAGGCTCCAATTGTGGAGATGTGACTTTCAACATGACAGGCCCCTCCCTCGAACAGTCTAGGACGACGCCAGCACATCCCGACGACGGGAGGCCCAAGGGATATTGGCACCCAAAAAAGCTCCATCTCAACTTCTGGATCGATGCGGTATCGGATTCTGAAGTGGACAAGGAGATTATGGACTCATTTCAACATGCCAAAATCTCCATCGCTGTGTCCTGCGTGCTCAGACCTCGTCTCTCAAGAGGACACTTCTCTGCCTAAGACGCTGTGTGGTCGTGCCGATCTTTATGTCATGTCATACTCGTGGGTGCTTCGTAAAAAGATATCAGAAAACCCAAAGTGGAACTCACCTCAGTTTGATCATTGACGGGTGCGGACCGATTCCGCAATGACGTTCCCAAGCTCAAACGTCTTGACAGTCGCCAAGACTTCCCGAGAATTGAGCTGACCACAACTTTTGGGCAATCGGGTCTTCGAAACGAAACGAATAAGACTTCATTTGCTTGTATCTCCACCAAATGAGCATATAGCACTCTTTCTGGTAATATAATTGAGTTTCTTGGTTTTCGTCTTTCATTTCGAAGGTCCGTTTGCCAAAAACTTGTGTTCAGTTCAATTCTCGGGAAGTCTTGGCGACTGTTAAGACGTTTGAGTTTGGGAACGACAACGTCGGGTGGGCATGTGAACTGTCGTTCCTGTTCCCATTTGGCTGAACGGGATCGCAGACAATGCACCCTGTATAATTTGATAATGAGGTACACTCTACGCGGGGCCTTAAACCAAACAATAGGTGTAGAGTAAGTATTCTTATGTACCCTGCTAACAGACCTACCAGGTAGAGCTACCCCGCAGAGGCGCCCGCCGTTCATGTCAGGGGCCATGTGGCTGTCATTCATCTGAATTCATCTTGTCCCCTCCCGATTCGTAAGATGGGATGGAAAGAATCACCTTGGTAACTATAAATATTGGCCACTGGGAAAAGACTTAATATTCTCTCGCCTCACATGTGTACAACAGTAGACGACCAATCGTGGTTTGTCGTGGATGTACCAGGTAGACTGCCTTGAGGGCCTAATTCATCATCATCATCATTCATCTCTCTCATATCCACCGGCGCTCTCAAGCCATGTAGTCTAATTATATACAAGTTAAGAAGCTCAAGGTAAGTCCAAAGTATGTACACTTGCACTCTTATAAGACCATGTGCTGTGTCTCCAATAGTACGTGTAAGCAAGCAAAGGACGTGGGGTGGTGACAGAAGTGGTTTCCGCTTTGACTCGAACCCATTATCATCGTTGGTTTCCAGTTCCAAACAAAAAAAAAAAAAAAAAAGCCTCCCGATCGCTCAACCAACGCCTTCTTCCAAACACGCTCAAGTACCCTGCCTCCGATAATATACCATATAAGCCGACGTATTCCCATTCGCATACATCACCTCCGTCAAGTCCGGTATTCCACCATTCCCATTCATACCCGGACCGCCACTCCCAATCTTCACCCTCTCCACCACATCATCATTACACTTGAACCAATCCGTCGGGTCCTTGGACTGCTCGTCCTGCACATACGTATAGTAATGCCCGCCATTGATTCCCTGGCCCACATGCACCGTGACGGCATAGCAATCGTACTTGATGCGGCCGGCGTAGTGCGCATCGTCCGTGGTCGCCATGTCCGGGTCCGGCTCGGCACAGTACCTAGTCAGATCGAGGTCGCGGATCGGGAACCGTACTTTGGTGTGGATCTTGTTTGAGCCACCGCCAGAGAGGATGGAGCTGAATGAATTTCGGGACTGCCCAAAGGACGAGTTGAACCGGTTGAGACAAAAGGCGAGACGGTCAGGTAGTCGAGCAAACTTGGCCCGTCTTGTTCTGCCGGGTTTGTTGCACGTTTCGCACTTGAGGTCCGGGAAGTGTTCGGTTGCTTGGTGGCTGGCGAGAAGACGGTCTAGGTCCGTGGCGCCGTAGC